CTGAAATATCGGGCAAAAAAAAAGTCTGCTGTTACAGGATACGCCGAAGTTTAGTAGAGCAAGGTGATCATCATCCCAACTCTAGTTTCATCCGACTGATTGTTTCTCTCATTTTCTTCTGTTCCTCTCCCTTTTTTCTTTTGGCATAGAAGCCGGGTTCTGGCTTCGCTGGCGTTCCGGGCCACTCGGATCGTCCCTTTTTGCCACGGCCTGCCCGATTCGACCTTGATTCATTGAGACGTCGGCCACTGACTGGGTCCGAGTCCATCTGGGTCTTTGTCCCGCCCCCAACGCCTCTATGCGTGGCTGCTAGGTGGCTTATTCCAGAAAGCGGCGACTGGATTGGCGGAAAGAAGTCCTTAGAAGGCTGAGGTTCCTGGGATAGTGCTAAACTGATTGTCTAGGCCAGGCTGCGAGGTATGCAGGAGGTCAGACCTCCGAGGCTGGACGGATCGATAATCTGCACCTCTACAGACGGGACCTCATGTATGCTGTTGGCTTCTAGATGCTCGAAGTTGCGGATGTCACAATGCCATGGACCCCAACTATCTCGTCACCGCTGTTCTGGCATCAAAGTCGGTGGCTATGGAAACATCCTGCAGCTTTACCAAATTGGCCTTGCAGCGGGAAGGTCCAGCGGGAAGGTGAAAACAGCCCGCTGTAGCCGACGATATTTCTCTCCTCGAGTCTTCGATGTCGTTGATATTGAGCTTGAAAGCTCGCGTAATCTGTCTTATCGATACGTTCAGGCCACCAGCTCATCGCGATGGCGGGGTGATAAGCCATTGATTGCGATTGCGGCGTTGCGCTCTCTCACCACTCCACAAAACCGTGGGGCCCCGTAGAATTTTCTCTCGATCCTTCACCAAGCCCGTCATTTCTTAGCCCGGGCAACGACACCAAAACGACTGCAGGGGCCGTACGCCCTCCCGCTTTCTTGGCCGCCTATCTGGTAGCCTGGATAATGATGGCAGATACGGGCTTAATCCCAATCGACATGCGCTCATACACTGGTTATGGAAAGTTTCGGGGATGTCCAACATGAGCTTTCACATGCTTGAATGTTTACCCTCCTCCTGCCAAAAACTTTCTTTGTACCCCCCCAAAAAAAAGTTGAATCTTCCAGTAAAGTGGTATTTACCAGGTGGCTCCTGCCTCAGGCCAAAAGTGACATTTGATGCCAATTTTTGTCGCCCCACTCACTATCAGCTTCGGCTTTTCTTCGGGTACCATCACCGAAATGCCAATCCCCAATTGGTTCTCTCTGAAAGACCAATCCCAGGTCTGACACTGACGTTGATGTCGCGAACTGCCCTCCATCTACTCGGCATGGCCGACAGAGTTTGGCGTCTGATGTCGCGGTGCAATCCGAAGACACGCCTCTTCTAAACTCTCGTATCCCTTTTTCGTGTTTCCCGGAATGGCTAGGCTCGGCCCGTCCATCCTCAACGCAGTGTTGGCATCCCTCAATCACTAGTAAATCGCTCTGGCAAGCTGGTTACCCATTCTCGACATAACGGCACTGCCGCCTCGATTAACATAGGTAGACTGATTGCGTACCATTTCCATCACGGTCATGACGTTATTCTAGTAGCGATGTCGAGTGGCACTACAAGAGTCATTGACCCTCCACATTCAAGGCGGCAAGACGTCAGCAACCTTACTGATACTTCTCAAGTGCAGCTCCGAAACCTGAAGCCGACCCTCCCTCCAATCTCGATAACCGCCTTCTAGCGCAGCAGTCGCGAGAATATCATTCAGACACGCAAGAACATTAGTTCTCGTAGGACATATCACAGAACTTACATGTGCGTAGAAGTCTGATAAGCAACGAATATCGCTACAGATTGTTCCCCCCGGCGAATGTGCACGAGGTCCTACGGCGTGGGAGCTTACTCTGCTATTGGGGTCTCGCCATCAACCGATGCTACACATATTTCGGGGAGAAGGAAGGACAAAAGCACATGCTATTCGTGCTGACCTTGCCTGCGATGACCGGCCAAGCTTTGAGAGGACTACGCACATCCACATTCCGTGGTAGGGTGTAAATCGGCCAATGGGGTTCATATCTTAGGCCGTGGTCTCTCCTTCACGGCTTGCTCTCGGAGACGGCCGCAAGCTTTATTGGGCCTCCGGAGTTTGGCCCTATTGGTAGGTGTGTATGCGACAAGTATGATACCTTGCGCGCCAACATATCTTTTGCTTCGGATTAGAGGGCTTGCGCGTATGCCGCTTATGAAGTTTTGATTCTGTTGGTCGCTTAAGTATTACATCATTCGCTTTGCTCTATGCTAGTGACTGAGACTTGGTAATTGGACCGTCAACTGGCTGTCATGTAGATACAGTTACCATGTGACGCCGTGACTTGTTCACCTACAGCATATCAATTTTCAACTATTCACTACACATCGCGGACTGGATGGGAGGGTTTGTGGTGGAAAATGATATCACTATGCTATATAGAGTGGGCACTGTGTTGTATACAAGCAACTCTTCTTCTATCGACTAGAAGTAGATAGCCTAGCGATCCGCCTTGAGGCACCTAGTGGCCGAGGACAGAGCGGTCGGAGCCGCGGCCCGGACTTACGGCCCCACCTCGCCGCGAAACATTGAACGCGGCCTGCCAAATGTCTTAGCCCAGTCCTCTCAGACCATGGCAGACGAGGCTACCATTGTCGTTTCCAACGATGTCGTCTGTAGATTACCGAGTTAGCACTGTCACCATCATAGTCTTGAACTTCACATACTCAATTCGATAGAAGTCGAAGTCCATCTTCCGCCGCAGTTCTTGCAATTGCATTTCAAGGTAGACCCGTCGATCCGACAAGTCCTCGCATGGCAGGTTTCTGAGTATTTTCCCCTAAGAACCCAGCGGTATTAGCGTTGTGGCAAGGCAATGTGATACACCATCGGCGATGGCAAAATTGATGCTGGCTTACCTCACACGGCCCTCAAGTTTGCCGCAAGAATTCGCCAGGCAAAGGTCTAAGTTGAGATGGCCAATTTTCCAAAAGCCCAGTTGGTCACGGCAGGTTGCATACAACAAGGTGAAGTAGCGGTAGTTGATGGTAAACGAGTGGCAGGTAGCCGAGGCTCCACCCCGGAGGAATTCGAAATCCTGAGGGGAGTTGCCGGTTGGAGAGACTTGAACTTCAGTCGTGTTTGGGCTCCTGATCGCGATGCCTGCTGCAGCGGTGAAGGCGAGGGATATCGCTGTCGCAAACCTGATGAGGTGAGCGGCGCGCATCTTGCGGAAGATAGATAGAGTCCGAGTTTGCCGGATTCGTGATTTGAATAGAGAAGGACCTGAAGTCTAGGGAAGATGGCATCTGGACTCCCATTCTGCGAAGATCGAGTTTTTTAAGTGTGCCGCCCACCAGCTGATGCAGTGAAGATGTTGTCGAGAGGATCTCGAGTCTCGTTGCGTGCGAGCAAACAATTTCTCGCCGGAATCGACATCGCAATTTTGTGAACAGAGGCGGCGAGTCTTCTCAACTTGCCCACCCAGGAATCCCGGGGCCACCGGCTGGCCTCAAATGCACGACCAACAAATTCAGGTGGATTGCAAGTCTTGGAAACAAACATCGTGCGCGGCGCAACTGCATAGATCGGAATACGAAGTCGCTTTTCGACCCAACGCCACGAATGGAAATGATTTGAGTTCATTCGAGATGCTTCCCACCCAATGAACGGTAATCTCGCCAGTATTTGCACCAGAGTTACTAATCATTCAGACTCGGGCCCATATCATGCTTCAGTAATATGGGACTCTCTGACCCGAGAGGGGACTCAGGCCAAGCACCTCGAAGTTGAACTCGAGATGCTGTAGACAGCCTGCTCCATCCTTCTCAACACCAAGGCCACGGGTCTGAGAGCTCTTGGTCTTGATGAATAACGTTCACATCAAGATTGGTGATCCCTACGCCGGTCGAGGAGGGAAATCACTAGGGCCAAGGTATGATGGAGTGTTGGGCATGAATGTTGAAATCTTATCAGGCATGATTCATCGTGTTACGAAAATAATTTCCATCTACAAACATTGTTCCGGGGATATAATGCCCTCACTGAATCCGCACATTCAAGTTTTGCAATCAGATTCGACAAAAAGAACGTTATCTTGCGAGGCCCATGATCGATCTCCAGTTCCCATCCCTTTAGACTATTCAGGAGCGTTACACGAGAGTATGATACTGCTCCCACAATGATGGATAATGACTTTATGCATTGTCCATAGAGGCCTCCCTTGTTTGGTAGGTTGAACGGGTCGTCACTAAGTAGTCGCTTGCACAATGCGACAAACATTATCCAAGGGGTCATTCATGAGCCGATTTTGGATCCATATACTAGAGTGACTTGCTAGTCCTTATGTCATCACTCAAGTAGCAAGGTGCTCCGGTAACGTATTGTTTTCGCTCCGGTATGGTTTCCGAAAACTGAAATGGCGAGGCCCAGTTTTTGACCAACTCAAACAGTTATAGTATATCACCCATCAAGTCAAAGAACTTCAGGTTGACCAGTCCTTTCTGTATTTCCTTCTTGGTTTCCGGTTTCTCCCTGAGGGCTCCTCGGGAAGTCCCACCGTAAAGTCAAACTTCCGTCTACCTCTACATGTACGATCCTTCGATTGGCTCGACTCGACGACACGATGTCTCGTTCTAATCTCACATCGACTATCTGGGGGATATGGTATCCCGAATGGGACACAACCAAAGAAGCCTTGAAGAACGAAAAGACGCCAATACCAAAACCACACTCCAGGGTAGTTGACCGTCTTTTGTACTCTGAGAGTTGCCAAATGTGTTGGATCTCTGAACAGTCGGCAGAAAAGGTGGATCTGGAAGGCGGTATGGGCACTTACAAACGACCCCTTACATACCACTTCTGAGAGGCCGTGGGCTCTGCCCACAACCTCCTCCTTCCACCTCAAGACGCAGCAATAATAGACCATTATTGACACTTCGTTCCAACCGTACGGTTGCCCTGCTGACGTGTATACCAACAAAATGAGAGCCATGGGGGGGCTTCGTACGTCAGAATTCAGAGCCCTGCAAGACATTGATGCATATCGACCAACCCGTCGCATCTTGGATCTGGTATTTATCGATGAGAAGGACGGAGTGGACCGAGCCGAAGGCGCCGATCCAGGCGTTGATACAGACGCAAGCGAGCAACTGTTAACTTTAATGGACAATTTGACACTTGATCCATTGGGATCTTGGGCAACCAGTGACTTTGTCAAAGTGGATGAAACAAAGTGGTTCAAACTTTTTCGAAGAGAGCGATGGTCAAGCTACAAGCACACGGATCCCAACGGGCTATCCATCGACATCGACGACGACGCCACCTGGGCAAAGCTGGGTAGGACCATCGAAATTGCAAACAGAATTCTGACAGAGGCGGTCAGTCATGAATGGTGTGTTCTTACGTTAACACCCCACATGACGAGAATCAGAGGCCTGAATCCTTCGGTCGGAGAAGAATTCCTGACACATTTGCATTTCACTGACGCTTATCCGCCAGGCTAGCAAGTTTTCTCAAGCAAGATTCCCGTGAATTTCGACGGGATGTCAAAGTAGGGGCCAAACTTGGAGCCCCTCGAACTGGTACCATCGTCCGTGTGAAGCCGGTCAGCCCCGACTCCCGCCTTAGTCAAACAGAAGCTCGGAAAGTTCTTGACGACATCGCCGACTGTTTCTTTTGGGGGTTTTATCTCCGAGAGGAATATCCTGGAGTTATTGGAAAGACGACAAGGTACATTAACAAGAGTGGAAAGCAGCTTAAGTGGATGTGTGTTGGTCTCGAGTACTTCCAGCCGTTGTTTCAAGACAAGACGTTCCAAGATCCTGAAGGCCGCCAGGCGATAATGATGGTAGCCAAGACTGTGAGTTACTTTCAACACGATACTTTTCTGGAGCTACTCGGTATTGACCACTTTCTTTTGGCCAGATACTCCATGAATTAATGGTAACATGCCATGATCTTCTTTTCGTGGGATCATAATACTAAACACAAAGAGTCTAGCATGGTATATCTGGCCATATGAACTATCGCGAAAAGCAGTCTCAAAATGAGCCCATCTTGTCATATGAGCTTGGAAGTACAAACCAAAGCCTTTGTCGCGCAAACTCTCGCTTACCTGGCCACGACAAAGTTCTGGGACGAGGAAAGGTGGGCAGAAGCGGGAATTTCCTGGGAAATGTCGTTTTTTGGATTCTCCTTAAAGGACACCAACATTTTCTGCGACAATCGCTATTCGCTCCACGGCATACGTGCCCCTTGGCCTGCTTTCTGCTTATCAAGCTCCGGCCACATGGATGTTTACGATTACTGGTCTATCGAGGAACCATTCCAAGAAAATCGGTACGGCATTCCGGCCATCAGTCTTTGTGCGATGACAACGTCCGATTTCTGGGAGACACATGTGCCGAAGTACGGATACAAGGCACTGAGATACAAGGGGCTCTGTGTTGCTGAACAGGTGTGGGAGAATAACTATGAGCGTGCCACACGAACCGCACGAGCCAGGATTCTTGACGCCCCTTACTCGGAATATGGCCGCCTCGATGTCGGTTTGAGAATGATTGCGCGCCGCTTGAGATTAAGGCGAATGGAGCTCCGAAAACTGAGGCCATGGTACAAGGCAGAGTACACCAAATGGCATGCTACTATATATGCCGAGACTCAACAGCGAGCCAAATTGATCGCCATTGGAAATCATTCCAAATCCCATCACGACAAACATGAATCTGAGGTTCGGGACTTGATCAAGAGCATCCTGTTTCCATACGATCAGCGTACCGATCTCACCAAAACCAGCCCTCGCAACAGACCGACATCGAGATTCCTCTTCCAGGCATACGCATATCTGTGGCTGGCAACGCTGCCCGCCAGGAAAAAGCCTACACCGTTCACTGACCAGACCTCGAGGACACAGTATCCTGAAAGACTGAGCATACCCAAGTCCGCTGGTGGCCAGGAGATCATTGACCTTGTGACTGAGCGAGAACGCAAGCAGTCAGCACCGACGACCCAATACCTGTACAATGCCAACATCCTGACCCACGACAAAGAGATGTGCATGGCTAACGCCAGACTGGCATTTTTACGATGGGGGGTACTCGGAGATGTGTCACACGAAGTGGCTCAGGGTTTCAACGAGGACTGGCGCGATGTGAGAAGAATGATTGATCAATACCCCTATAACCATGAGTGGTTGGTGTTTGATTTTAGAGACTTGCCCGGGTACGTCGAAAGAAACACTGCACTGCCCTATAGGGGGTTCGCAGGTTGAGAAGCTTCCCTTGAAAAAGCATGACCTCAACGATGCCGATCTCCCATCGTGGGCCGTAGCAAAGCCAGCAATCGCTCCATCGACAGTCCCGTCGCGAGGCAAATCAGCCAAGGTCTACTCTCAGCTCCACCACTACCATGTAGGCGAGATTGGTGATCACCAACGCGTCGGGAGCGGAGTCAAGTGGTTTGTTCACACGGCCCACGATGATGACAGGTATTTGATTTACGACTTCAGTGGGAGGCAGTCTAAACATGGATGGGACGCTGTCACTCGAGAACAGTTGACAATGAGACCAGATCACTACAGCTTTAACCTGAGCAGAGTCCTTCGCGTGGAGGCTATCGGCCGGAAAACCTGTGAAATGTATATGCAAAATGGGCCCATTGGACAAGTTATGCAGCTCATGCACACAGAAGATATCAGACTTGCCAATAAGCGAGACGCCTTGTCATGTGTAGCCTTTGGTACGCACGTTTTTGATCTGACAAGTAAGTCTATTCTTGGCTTGAAGCTCTCAAGACTTGCTCGAAGGCTCATGCGCTGACCTCTAAGACTGTCTACTGCCGCCCCACTTGAAAGATCTACAGGTGATCATCGAGTCGACGACGACAGGCAATCCTCTCATCGAGGCAGTCAACAGAGGATATCATCCTGACGTTATCATCGGCCTCCTTCGACCTTACCAGATTGGAATCCGGTCGCAAGAATTGGAAAGTACCAGCATCTATCTGTCAAGTTGGGATGTTGACGCAGGGTGGAAGCTCTTAGAGGCCAACTGCAGTTACACTCCGTCTCTGTCTTTTGCTCAAGCTGCTAGAAAGGGCAGTGCGACTGTGGCTTCAAATCAAATTGTACAACCAATCCAGAAACCGGCCGGCACGAAACGCAAGAAGACTGGGCAGCCTCAAGTGCAGCAAAAGACCGCTGAGGCCATTTTTCTTAGCCATTTTTCACTGCCATACCAATTGGCTGCCGGCGTGAAACGGACGGGCTCGCAGTCTCCGGTGCGGTCATACAAAAGAATAATCATGGAACCTCGTGGCTCTGCTGGTGCCTCTTCTTCGGCGCCTGGAAGTTCACGCGGGACAAATTCAAGCGGGACAGAGAAGCCGACTTGAGACTAGGAGTGGAAGGTGCCGGAGTGAGGACGATGGCAAGAACGCAAGTGAAGGTTTGAGACTGGGTTGACGAGGGAAGAGGACTGGATTTGATAATGACTTGGCGGTATTTTTTTGGGCATGCGCTTGAGATTTCATAGTTCACTTTTATCTTTGATTTATAGATTATCCATTTTCGAGCTGTATTTCTCCATCCGAGAGCTAGACTATCATGGTCCAGTCTCATAGAGAAATGTCAAACTTTGCTACATCAAAATACCATTTTCATACTATTGACCATCAAAGAGCATTGAAACTTTGGGGATGCACTGTCAGGAAGTTAGAGAATGGTGCATCGCGTCTACTACACAAGGTTGTGTGGTAAACATGGCCCCATGACAACGGGAGAGTCACTAGAAGACTTTCTCTCCCACTCTGAAGTTGATTCGCGATGCAAGTTAACTCCGACCACCATGCCAATGATCTCCTCTTGACACATCCGGACGAACCCAAGCCATCTTCATGCTATCGTTCTCAAAGAGTACGCAGTGCTGTGTCGCTTAATCCTGTAAGGGACCAGGACCTTGGTCACGGATTCCATTGGCGCCACAAAAAGCAATAGGAAGCCCACTGACCCCTTGCCGAGGCTTCCTTTGTGAAGGTTCTTTGTGGCCGAGACCAAACCTTCATGAATCTTTGGGTTCCCGCCCAAACCTTTTGGTTACAATTGTCGGCCCAATCTGAGATTACACCGCTCAATTGTTTTCAGTCATTTGATAGAGCGTTTGTGTTTCACGGTCGTGTTTCCATTTTGATCCGATCTGTCGAAGAATCTGAGCTCTGTGCTGTGTTGCAGGTCTCTCACTTCAACTCTGTGACTTCATTGAACAAACTTCTAGACTACTTACTCATTGCTGAGATAACATGATGTGAGACAGGGCGACTTTGGACCTTTCGACTGGTTCTTCCAGTGCCCGTTTAATACTTGACTTTTTCTTGTATTCGGACGTAAACCCGCCTCAGGAATCCATCGTTCTCTCGCATACTGAGCATCACCAGAATGGCTGATTCTTCAGAAAGTCGCTGGGAGAAGCATTATGGCGTTGGCGAGACACACCCGCCGCGTCAGAACGGCCTATCATGGATGGACCCGATCTTCCCCTTCATTGACCCGCAGACGCTCGAAATCAACGAACCGCACCCCCAAACGATTCCACAGCCGGTTGCTTCTGAGCTGGAAGAACTTCTTCTTTCGGAACGACAGCAACTTGCGTGTTTCTCCGGATTGCGGACCTGGGAAGCTGCGGTGCTGGCAAAGACGGAAGCCTACACTGCAATAGGGGAGGGACAAGCTGTGATTGGCAACGAGATACAAGTCTCCGAGTCGTCTTGGCTCCCTATTTTGTCAAGAGACCGTTGGATGATTGACTTCACTGCGCCCCCAAATTCATCCACTAATTGGTCCGGATCGCAACTCTGGAGTGCGCACGATCCAATCATTTGGGCAGTTCTCAGAGAGGCAATACAGATTGCCGATAACATCTTACGGAAATCCCTTGAAGGAGACTGGTAAATACACATTCCGAAGATACTTGATATCATAAGGTACCTTAGGCAAGGATAGGGTATGAATCAAGACAGAGCTAACATTGCGCCTTTTATTTCAGGCTACAATCTCTGCTCAATCCGGATAACGTCGAGAGCCATAAAACGACACACTTATCAGGTTCGAGTGAGGTCGGTAAAGTCTGGAGAATGAAATCATCTCCCGTTAGTCGCAAGCCAGCGAGAGAACTGATTCATATATTGTCATCCCCTTCCCTTGTGAACAGAATATATTGGGCATTCATTGACAAAACAACATTGAACGTCTATTCACCGGATGCAATTATCCAGGGATTGACGGCACATCCCGATAGTGAGGTAGGGCCGATCACGGTCTTCATCAATATCCTTGGCCTGAAGACGCTTCTAGATGCAGACACCACCCAATCTTCGAAAAGAGCGGCGTTGGTGAATCTTGCGGACACTGTGGGTTTGCGACGTCGCCAATCTGCCACTTACTAATGCGCTCATTTCTACAGCTAGTTCATGAATTGACGGTAATCTCCCGTCAATCTTCGGTGTTCTCTGAGAAGAATTATGTCAGGATCAACTAACTTTGGGCACATTCATTACAGCATGCGATCGGCTTTCACGCTCTAACCAGCGAAGCATGGCAGCAAAAGCTAGGAATTCCGAATTACAATTTTGAGATCGTAAGTTATCTTGATACTCCACTCGAAAGACTTGCCGATTAAAATAAACTTCGTCAGTTCGGCCCACTGGAACACCAATGCGAACTCGGGTGGTCGTTTGAAAAACATGCATTTGGAGGTTCTGTGGTTGGACATATCCCCACACGCTATGAAGACTCCCACACCACAACCTTCGCACCATTGATTCTATCCATCACGAAGTTTCCCTATATATCTGATCCTGCACTCACCTATGACTTTCTTTTGGATAGCCCCACCATCCACACGCGCTGGCCTATGCCGTCACTTTGGCACAATTCTTTATGTTCCGAGGCTTTCTGGACTCAGACCGTTTCCAAGTATGATTATTCGAGCCTACAGGCACCCAAAATGCTTGAGGTTACGAGGGAGCATGGAAATCAAGCCTGTATGCAACCTTGGATCTGCGCCATAGAAAAGTCAGCTCGTTTCAAGGAAGAGTTTGTCCCTCAAAACTTTCAGGCCGATGCGCTCAAGATGTCAGCTAGGAGTTTACAGAGCAGGCGGCTCAAGTATCAAAGAATGCGTCCGTGGTTCAAAGACACGTATGCAATGTGGCAGATGACGCCCTACAGCCATTACGATCCTCGGCACGAACTTTCACGTCTCATGAAAGTTCCGTTAGCTCTCAGGAACCATCGTCACGAGTTTGACACAAGTTGCCTTGCAAATGCATGGATTCATCCACTGCGCATGGGTTACAATCAGTACGATGTACTTGAATATGAAGTTTCTCGACAAGATTTTCAAGCGCGCATTCTTGACGAGAACAAAACGCAGTGGTTCTGGCGGGCTGTAGGATTCCTCCTGCAAGCCTCATTGCCTGCGCGAGTGGAGGAAGTCGTACCAGCGAAACAGCCAAAACGACTATTGTCGAATCCATGGACTATGACCCAAAGTCTCTCTCTCGACCAATCACAACAAAACGACGTCCGGGAACAAATTGAGATCGCATTCGCAGAACGGTGGATCTACCCGCCGATCAATTTACCTAGGCGACACCTGCTACATCCCAACGATCCATATTTGACTCGCGAAGACCGCCACAGCTGCATTGACTTAGCGCAGACCGCATTCGAAACATACATCTCACTCTGTATTGAGCCAGATGGGTTGCAAGACGCCTTCGTAGACGAATGTTCGAGCTTGAGAGCCCAACTGGACGCCGACCATGTACACGGTTTTACCTCGTGGCTTGACTTCCGCTTCCAAATGCCTCAGTACCCCGGGCACACGTACGACCTTAGGACACTTTCATTGTTGGACTTTCATCGGGCGGGTGTGAACTCTGAGAACTCCCAAGACAAGGACATTGGAGACAGAGCTGCCGAGATATTCCATGGGGAAGACCCGGAAAAATACCCCTCGATAGACTTGCCGGCTTTTGCGAAGAGTGGAATCGTCTCTGTGCCTTCTCAGTCAGGTGAGAGTTATCAGCGATATCATCTACCTTACTACACAGTCGCCGAGCTGTACGATCACGCGAAAATGCTCAAAGATGAGCTCATTCTGGTCGAGAATGGGCACCACCTGGATGTTCACAAATGTTCTGCCATCTGTCAGTCGCTTGAGCTTGAAGAGGATGAACTACCTGAGTTCACCAAGCCCAGTTTCTATGGCACTCAATTGACTGATTACGCCGTGGGGTGTCTTTACGAGGCCGACGTACCTTCCTTGCCCTTGGGGCGAGTAATTCGAGTCTTACGGGAAGATGACATTGCCCAGTGTGATGGAACTGGTGGGGATCCGTTATGGATCCGCATACATAACAGCGTTTTTGATATTACTCGTACGTGGGACTGCAGACACAGCACATACTTTAACTGGCCGCTGACATCAAATAGACTTGAAGTGTGTATCGGAGCCGGGACTAAGGAGACTCTTGGCGAACAACCCCAGTGGAAATCCATCTCTCGAATTACTGCAAGATGGGTATTCCCTCGAAGAAATCAAAAAGTCTCTGGCACCTTGGCGGGTTGGTATGACAGCCAAAATCCCAGGTGCTGTTGCCGACAAGCATTTCGTCAGAACCTTCACGTCCCAATCACTAAGGAAACACGAGTTTAGAGAGACAGGGATGTACATAGCGATCGAGAAGAAAGTTTACAACATCACTGGTAAGTCAAAAGATCGCCGGGGCTCAAGAATAAAGCGGGTGATAACTGATCGTATGAAAGACTATGCCGAGACACATCCGGGAGGGCTCCAGTGTTTGGTCGAAAATGGTGGACGAGATATTACAGATCTCTTCAATCAATACCACCAAACAAATCGCAACCGGGTTCTAAAAGGTCTGCAGGAGTTGTACATTGGCAATCTGATAGAGCAGCGACAGGAATTTGCAGATGACGATGTCGAAAGTCTTGCCAACGGCAGGCCCGTGCTTCCACATGAGATCAGGTTCGGCAGTGAGGTCTACTCGGTGCAAGGTGAGCTTGAACGATCTTTTTACTCAACCGAAATTGCGAAGACATGCTCACTTATGGAGCAGCGCTCAGAGAGTCAGACGAGTATGAAAAGTTCTCCGGACTCGTGGATGACCTCTCCCCTTACCTTGGACTCGATGCCACTGAGGCCTTACAAGCAGAAGAATACGACGACGGGCCGCTCATGCGATTTGCTTGTCTCAGAGGATACATTGTAACACATGTTGAAGACATCGGCTATGGTCTCCCGGAAATTGAGTCGGAAGAACTGAGAATGTTCGATGGACACACCGATGTGGGTTACGATATGCAATACGACGCATTTGTGGCTTCAGATGACTTTGTCTATGATATGACATGTGAGTTCCCTTCATAGTGTCTTCTATCTTCAAGTACACCTCACAAGGTTCTGACTCGGGAGAACCCAGCTGCGATGCTCTACGGATCTTGCAACCCGATATACTCCAAGTTTGAACCCTTCCTTGGAGGTGTCATAACAGACGAGGAGTTGAGAACGTACTTGAACACCCATTGTGAAGATCTTATCTGTGCCGTTCTGGTACGGGAGAAAAGACAAGAGGACGGAAGGCGCATTGTTAAATGGGATCCAAGGAGAAAGGTTGCTAGTAAGCAGATTCTTGCTATCAATTTCGATGACCTGTTGTTGACCCCTCTTCCAGCCCGATATAAGATGCCTATCTGGACCAACCGCCCCAGAAAGATTCCGAAACCTCCGGCAGAGGACGAGGTTGCTCCTCTCATTAGCACGCGAGAAAAGGCGAAGGAGACCTCGAAGAACAGAGATTTTGAGACGAAAGACGTCTTCGAACCCACTCCGACGCGACAATTTCTTCAAAACTTGATCAACCAACTTGACCCAGACCAGGTCAATCGGCCCAGCTTTGCGACGGAACTCGGAGAGCAAGAAACTCGAACCAGCGTGGTCAGTGACACCAAGGGCAAAGCGCCGGTGGGTAGGGCAAGTAGTCCAAAGTCGCGGCAGTTGAGCAGATTGGATTCTGATCTCAGACGTCGCAAGGACGAAAAGATAATGAGGGAGATTGCTAGGACATGGCAGGAGGTGATTGCCTCAGATGAATCAACCCTCCCAGCCGGCTTCTTTCAGGTAGATAACAACGCCGAGCACAACAATGGCATTACTGTTCAGGATGAAGTATTCGAGAAAGGAGAAAGTAGCGCTCAGCAAGACGCAGCTCCGCCGGGGATGTCAAGGAGAGCACTTGAGGTCACCAAGAAGCGCAAGCTTGTGTTCGAGATTGATGATGGCCCGCCGAGGAAACGGCGATAGACATTGCTTGAGTCAAAGTTGCGAAGTTCGATATGGTTCTTGATTTCGTCGACCTCCCAAGGATTTCGAATTATTTGTTTTGCACCGAAGCAGGGTGGGGTTTGGATATTTCTCACATTGATGGGGTGTGGGATGACTACCTGTCTTTGGTTGTGTACCTACATCAAACATGGTTTCTTAGAACAACGCGAGTCTACCTTAGTAGACTTGACCCCATATACCGAGTCTTCGTTACCATTGCAATGTGTTCATCTTGAGCGTTTAAAAAGACCGCTCTACATAATATCATCCACGGACTCGGCCTAGATAGACCCCGTACTCCACTCCGGCCGGCGCAAGCATCGGCCTAGTCTTACCTCTGAAATGGTGTTAAGTGATGACAAACCATGACGTGATGGAGTAGCGCTGTCGTCGTTCTCGTCAAGGTCCGTCCAACAGCGACATTGACATTGCAGTCTTTCGTCCTTAGGGTTTACACATAATCACAACAACCTCGCCCCTATTGCAACGCCTGTACTCACAAAGCTCACACGGCACAATGTCTTTCATGCAGGAGCTCGCGTCTTGGATGTCCCCAACATCGTTGACCCTGTCCAGCCCACCAAAAGCGGGAGACGCGGCCCCAACCACCGACCAACTCGCGTTTCCCAGGGATGGTGGTAAACCCGCTGTAATCGCTTTCCTGCGGCACTGTGGATGCCCATGTAAGTCAAGACCTCAGACGATGGGCTTTACTTCTGTCGGATCACCAGGGACACTCACATGACTGATGAACTAGTCGCCGAGAAAACATTCCTCACTCTTCGCGATGCAGCATCCAAGCATCCCGAAATTACCTTCATCACCGTCTCTCACTCGTCAGGTTCGCACACGCAGAAATGGCTGTCCGAAGTCGGTGGCCCCGGCGATAAGAACCCGGTTCAAGTCCTCGTCAACGAAGAACGCAAAATTTATGCCAAATGGGGACTCGGTGCATCGAATTTCTGGCATGTACTCAGTCCTTGGGCACTTTCGGATGTGTTCAAGGTCTCTCGAGAAGAGGGAATCGCCAATAGGCCTACGGAGAGCGGCAATAGGTGGCAGACTTCCGGTGCGTGGGCTGTTGATGGGAAGGGCAAGGTGACGTGGGGTGGTCCAGCCACGACTGCTTCCGAGATTCCCGATGTTGAAGAGGCAATTAAAACGCTGAAATAATGTATGTTCAAGTTGGTATTATTTATTTTTGAAAAACGTCAAATTCAACTTTCGGCAGCTCCAGCGGACCAGCCCTGAACCAGACCAACAAACTTCTCAACCTCTGTTGCTTCCGTCGCCCACGTCGTGAGTAACCTCACCACAGCCTCATCGTCCCCACGCTTCTCCCATACATAAAAGATGAAGTGATCCTGCAGAACCTTGATCAAGCTCATTGGGAGCACCGCAAACACCTGGTTTGTCTCCGTCACGGCGTGAACCGAGAACCCGGCCGTCGCGATACCACTCGACAATGTCTCGGCGCAGTAATTGGCTAACCGTGCGAGATCAAAGTAGAGATCCTCTCTGAATAGTTCGGCAAACTGCGTGCCCATGATTCTGCTCTTGGCTAGCAGTGAGCCGTGCTGCTTGACGTAGAACTCGAACTCGGTCGCTAGACGCGCATCCTTTACGACCACAGCTTCTCCGAGCAACGCTCCGTTCTTTGTTCCTCCGATCCAGAAGATGTCTGTCAGCTCTAGGATATCTTGGAGCGTCATGTCGTTTGACTTTGACGCCAATGCTGTTCCGATGCGGGCGCCGTCGAGGAAGAGTATGAGTTGATTCTGTTCGCACACCTGCTTGATTGCAGCAAGTTCGTCTCTCTTGTATATCGTCCCAATCTCCGTCGCATTAGAGATATACACCAGCCTCGGCTTCGCCATGTGAGGGAAGTGCCAGTTCTCATCCACCGCGCGTTGGATGCTCTGGGGCGTCAACTTGCCATTGACAGGCGCAACGTTGATGATCTTATGCCCGCTGGCCTCCACAGCGCCAGTCTCTCTTGTGACAATATGTCCCGAGCTCGCGGCAATTGCAGCTTCGTGGGGTCTTAGACATGCCGCGATGGAGATGGCGTTGGCTGATGTCCCGCTAGGGACGAAGAAGATTCCAACATCATCGCGACCTAGGTGCCGACGTATCCGTTGCCTGGCAAGGTCGCAGTATGAGTCACCGCCGTATCCGGCCTCTTGAGATGTGTTGCCGGCGAGTATGGCTTTGAGAAGTGCCGGATGAGCTCCTTCGCTGTAATCGTCCAGGAAGCTGTAGCGGGGAGTGGTCGTGGGATCGGGAAATTGTGAAGGCATATCTGGCTTTACGTAGGCGATGAGACGAATAACAATTGGAAAATAGAATGAGTCACTAGAATCACGAGAATCTAGTCCAGTTTCCCGGGAATTCTATATAGAATTCCCCATCCCCACCGAAAAGCCCACCGAAGCTTTCAGACGATGACAAAATCCGAGCGTTAGTAATTAGAATGTTAGTCAGTGCGAATACGGTGGGTCGGTGCTCAACAAAAAAAGCGTTATCAGACTTTCCCGAAACCACGGATGTCTTGGTCCTCGAAATTGCCTGCAAAAGTTGACGGCTACACACGGCGTGACAGCGGATAGGTGCGGGTTGACAGTCCGGGGTTCCGGTGTTCGGGGAAAGCATGAAATGTTTTGGTTGACCGTGCAGTAGGCAATGCGCGGGGAAGATGTGGCCCAAGACACACATCACGGGGCCGTAGTCGAGGAGATCGTGCTGGTGGCATCCATGGAGAAGTCTATGAAACTCCGGTAGGTCTCGACCATAGAGTCGTCGAGGGGTTTGGGGTACGTGAGAACCTTTTGCGATCTTGGCTTGAGCGGTACCCCGTTGGCCGTGAGGTCGTTTGACTGGTCGTATAGTTCTGGATACTTCGCGTAAAAGGCTGGGTCGATCTTGTAGTACGATGCACCTTTATCCATGTTCAACTGCTTGAACGCGGCACGAGCATGGGACGGAGACGAGAAGAGAGTGGTGATATCCGGGGCGGGAAGACTGGCGGGGGGATCCTCGGAGTTGTTGCCGGCACCGGATGACATGGCTGCGATAAGGTCCGTCACCCGGACGTAAACCATAATATGTGGTGCGTCGCTTATCAGCTCAGACATGACGGCTTCCACCACGTATCCCGTGACGGCGTCACAGAAGATTTGGTCGATAAGGGGGTTGGCGGCGTGGAGCTCTATCAATCTATCCCGGATCAAGGGGAAGGGTATCCAGTCTATCACGCGCGGGTGCGGATGCTTCAGTTGCGTATCGGTTGGCCGATATCGCTGGTGTAATTTTTGGAATGTCGCGGGCGAGGGGTAGAGTTGCCAGGCTGTGAGCTCGATGATGTGGAAGAAGCGCGTTTTGGCGTACCATGCCATGACATCGGGTCGCGTCATGCTGTTGAACATGGACAGGACCATGAGAACTGGTTGATATATGCTGAGAATACTTGTCAGTCTTGCCTCCTTGCGACATGTGGTCCTCTCACCTTTGCATCGATGGTTGGCTGGCCGGAATGAACCCATTTGCCGCCAGCTTGCTTTTCAAAAGATGCTGAAGGAGCTTGATGTGGTCTGAAAACGGCGAATTTGATACGGGCATGTCCTTTCTCAGCGCCATGCTAGACTTTTGAGTTGCAGCCATGGCAGTCAAATATGGCTCTATCCCAGTTTGGTACTCGAAGCTCCAGATATTCGGGATCTGTGCATAGAAGGGGCTAGTTCCGGCGACGTTGATGAGTTCCGATGTTAGGAATTCATCTTCAGCCTGGCCTACAACACCATTAGTTTCCACTCGATGAAGCTCGAGATCTTGCACGGCGTACCTGATTCAGATTGATGGGCCAGCGGCGGATCAAAGTTTAGCGATGATGTGTCAAAAGGTGCCAGCTGCATAGATGGCCCTGGAAAAGCGGACCCTCCATAAGCCTGCTTGTGGTTGTATGTTGAAAGCTGTAACGACGAGTCTTCCGTCTCTTCGACCCCTACATCCCCTTGAGAACCTGTATCATTCAAGGTCTTGGATACAGAGTCACTCAACCCCTGCATATTGGCCAGCAGTCGCGACAACCTGGCCTGAACATCGACGAGCTGCGCCCGCAGCTGCCTATTCTCGCGCTGAAGCTCTTCGATTCTCAAATTGTCGGACTTCTGGTCGGTGTTTACTCTGCTACTCAACTCTCTCATGCGCTCCGCTTGTCTGCGACGGAAGGCCTGCTGTGATAGACGGTTGCGCAGTCGTCTAAGAGAGATGCAACCCCTCGTCAGCGGTTTTGGTTGGGAGGATTGGGCCGCTGGAGTTGGCTAAGTCCACCTACTTTCGTTCTTGCTCACTCATCGAAGAGCCCTTGTCTTCCCCGTGGGAAGCAGACCTGGAAGGCGGCATGCCGAGAAAGTTGTCTGTTAACTCAAAGCTTTCAACTTGGTTCACCAATCGTTGAGTTTGTAGGAGGGAAATCGCTGACTTATTTCTGTCGCACTAGACTTTCTCTCAACCTTACTGGTGCCGTGGGGATCCGTGCCTGCGATCGGCCCCACCACAGTTCGGTGCTCCGGGAAAGCCGTCACGGTGGCACCACAATGAAGTCTATGGACTCTTTAGACTCGACCGGCATCGCTCATAGTAAAAGGCCTGTTTTAATCGAGCTGAGAAGTTTGCCGGTAAGTACACGGTTACCATAAGTTTCATCATGCTTTCCGAATGTACTGAACTACTGGAGGGAGTTGCTGTCCTTTTCTTCTCACTAATACTTGCTGGTCCCTGCAAACCAACCTCAATGGTGGGGTTTTGGACGTACAGACTTTCATTTCTCCAACGGTTCTATGACTCGATCGAACCAGACAAGCGGTTCACCGCCTCCCTCCAGTCTCAACCCGACACCAATCTGCGAGACCTTACCAAGAATATCGACTTTGAACTCGACGGGCAGGCAAACCATCGGAGTCCCAATTGCCTCCATCTTCTTTCCTCCCATGTAGCCTCGGCCAAGCCAATGATTTCCGGACATTGGTTCAAGGTATATCGTCGGCTCAAAGTACGCAAAACCCGCTCCTCCCATTCCGAGAACGCGAAGCTGACAGTTATCAACGGAACCCGAGCAATCCAGATCCACGTTAATCGTGCCGTATCCAGCGTCGTGGTATTCGCCGATATGATCCGGGATGGGTACCGTTGGCAACAAAGGCGGCGTTGGAAGCGACGGGAAGAGGTTCTTTGCGCAAGTTTGGAGGTATTCCAGCTCGACTTTCTTCTCGTCCATGTATCTTTCTTCTCATTAGAGCTCCGAAGAACCAAGGATCTTGCAGGAAACTTACTGTTTGTTCATATCCGGTCTCTGATTCTCGGGAATCCCCAAGTGTTCCGAGAGAATATGAGTCGCAATCACATGCGGAGCTTTGCTCTCTGTATTGGTGAAGACCACCACACCTATCTGCTGCGAAGGGACTATCATCATCATTGAGATAAACATGGCAACTTGACCACTGTGGAAGTACACCTGCTCGCCCCCTAAGATGGCAGTAAGCCATCCCAAGGCGTAGCTCACGGGCCCAGTATACGGTGCCATCGCAGGAGCGACGAAAGTGCGTGGCTTCTTCACCTCTCGATGTCCCGCCTTGGATATCGGTGCGGACTCAGTCATCATGACGCGCAGGTACTTGGCGTAGTCGAGAACGTTTGACACGATGGAACCTGCACCCTCTTCGGCAGAAAAAGGTTCGTGCGGTAGTTCCACATAGCTTCCGTCAACCGGATTGCAATAATACTCCTTGGCGAGAACCAAACCGCTGCGTTCCGCTTCCTTCAATGAAAAGTACGTCTCGTTCATGCCCATGGGTTCCCAGAGGTACTCTCGGAAGAAATCACCCAGCCATGACCCGGTCAAGACCTCAATGAGATAGCCCATGGCTCCAAACATCTTGTTGTTATACAGATAAGTTGTGCGTGGCTCTGCGACCATGGGTAGATGTCTAAACAAGCGGGTAGCCCCCTGGGCCGTGGTTGCCGATGCCAGATCATGGCGGGGGTAGCCGGTCCGATGGCTGAGAGCGTCCTCGAGAGTGATGTGAGCCGTGGCCCAGTCATCACTGAGGACAAAGTCATCGCGCAGGATGTCGGATACCGGCGTCTTCCAATTCAGTCCAGGGTACACGGATGAGGTCGCGCTCGCATTGTCGATGAGGAGAGAGAGGCCGGCAGCGGTGAAGGATTTTGTGGTGCTACCAGTGTAGTAGAGCGTGTGTGGTGTGACAGGTGTAGTGTTGAGGACGGCGTAACCATAGCCCTAGATCGTCAGTTTTCCGCTATCAGATTTGTCGTGCTGCCGCCTCCTACGCTCGAGATCACGCAAAGTCAAACAAGAGGGGTCATCATGATACCTTTGCCCAAGTGTTGTTCTCATCCACAATTGCAACGGCTAAGCCTGGAGCATGCCACTCCTCCCGAATTCGCTCAATGAAATCGTCGAGATCTTTTGACACTACGCGAGGTACGTCCTCAATAGTGTGGTCTTCATTATGCAGTGGTTGTTGTGCTGTATCTTGTCCCAATGCATGGGTCGCACACGAGGCCACGATTGAAAGTTGAAACGGCTTCATCTCAATTAGTATATCGACTCTAGCGAGGAAGAGAGTATGATCGAACAAAATCTGAACTGGAAATGACGCGAAGTCTGGCTATGCTTTAAATGTTAGAGATACTTGAGTAGATAACGTGAGCCTCTGATCAGGAGTAAGATCGGAGGGAAGTCCCCCCACTAGGCGTCTAGCCGGCGATGTGCTCTGACATTTCCGGTGGGATACATTTGAATAGACTGCAACTGCGCCACAAGAGCGCAGCTGAGGACCAATCCTTGGCGCAGACTTACCACTGCCACTTTAGGAAGGTGGTTGGTTCACCACACTGATTGCATTGGAGAAGCAAAGACATAACAGTATCAGCACAATGTCCAGTGGTTAACAAACTAAAGTATCCATGTATACCTTATCTTGGATCAGGATGTCGCAGCGCCACACGTGGCGCTGCCGGTTACTGCCGTACGATACCGCTTTCCACAAGCCGATTACCCGTCTTGTACGGTATATAGATAGGACCCTCATAGTAGTAGTAGTAGTAGTAGTAGTAGTGGTGGTGTTTTACATCATCAGGGACAGGTGCCCAGCTATCTATGTAACTAAGCTCCGATCAACCAGAGCGCCCTTTGGGCATATGATGTGCCGTGCCGCCATTGTAGCGTACGACAAGTCAGGCAGTCTATAATGTACACTTTTCTTCTCGTGCCTAGAGCAGTGGAGTTTAATATCTAATCCCCAGGGTCCGTTCAGTTCCAAAAAGCACGCCAGCAGGGGGTCCCTGACTCGGCAGAAGCGAATGGGTCTCTAGCAGCCCTACGCCGTCCACAGACGGCGTTGCCGCAACAAGTAACCGGCCCTCGGAGGCATATTTGCCTACGCGAGCATTTTTCTGTTTTCTTATATTTTCTTATATAGAAGATAAAGGAGGAAGGAAGAGAGAGGGGTGTGGTAAGGCCGGGGCCTCAAGGCGTCGGTGGGTGTGTGAGAGAGTTGTGAGGCGCGGGATCTCGGGCTCGCTATCTTTGCAGAGAGTGAGCCTCATAGTAGCGCGTCACACGCTCGAACTTCTCAAAGGCACCCGGGTCTCTGATCAGGGCGTACCAATAGGCTTCGGCCAGGCCTATCGGGGGCGGTAGTGGTCCCGGATCGTCCACGGTCCCGGTAATCGGCCATAGCGCCGAGGTACGGCGGTTCTTCGTGCAATATACTGGATGGGTAGGCGATAATTTCCGCCCGCAGTTACATTTGAAGTCTCCGTCGTGCTGAAAGCGCCTGTGGTAGGCGTGGAAATGGCCATGGCCAGAACGAGCAGCGAGGAGGTGGTGCAAAAGAGGACGCCGTAGGTCCAGTTCCGGAGGGCAACGGAGGGCAGCGTCAGTTTTCTTATAGCCTGGTTTGAGCTTTTGCTTCGAAGTATGCCACCATCGTGAATGGTAGCCACGGGCTCTGGCGCGGGCCATCTTCGCTATCCCAGCGTATGATGCTAGCGGTGGAGGGTCAGGCAGTAGGAGAGCGGCTCCTTCTTTAGCAAGCTTATCAGCTAATTCGTTTCCAGGGATCCCGGTATGTCCGGGCGACCAGTGGCATTTTATATCCCTTGCCCGCTGGGCGTCGAGTATCTCAAGCATAGCAGCCTGCGAGCTGGCGGGAGATCGTCCGAAACCCGAGATAGGACCCTCATACGGGTCTTCCACTTAGAGGAATCAAGCCACTTTCTACTATACAAGTCTTCCACTTGCTACCTCGCTTTGTGATACAGGAAGCATGGAACTTTTGCATTGGGCACAAGGAGATACACAGAACGACACAATGACCGGTGATGCTATACAACATGGAACAAAGTGAATTGTCATGGAGCTATGAACTTTCAATTGGTTTACAGACATAGCCGTCCAATTGTCAACGTCCTCGGCTGCCCCTTGACATTTTGGGACAATATCGTTGTCCTTAGTCTCCTTTTGTTACGAAATCTTGCCTACAGCACCGTGCACACATAACAATGAGGCCATGGCTGAAGCACCGTAGTGCCCAGATAATTGTCATACTTAACTACGCTGATCGCGTGGTCCTATTCTCGTTTTCAAGAAGTCATCAGCCCCATCTACCACACACCAATTGCCAACAGAACCAGTCTATCCCACAGGAACTTACAAAAACCACTAAGCAGTACAGGAACCGCAAACCTAGACTTATTTCCCCTTCTTACAAGTCACCAAACCAAGCCACAATGGACGGAAGCAACACGAACCCTTTTTACCCAATATCCGAGCTCAATGAAGAACAAAGGCAAACTTTGAGAACCTTGGCCAATCTTTCAGAAGCAGACTTGAGAAAAGTCACGTTTCTAGCCACCCTTCACATGATCTCTCGCGGCCCTCATGTAACGTCTACCCCTCTCAGAGAGTGGCAACCTCCAAGCACTACCACAGCTGGACCTTCAGACAATCTTGACACCGAGGACCTTCCAGGTCGAAGCGAGTTCTGCAACGATGCTTCGTGTCCCTGCAACTCCATTAACTCCCCTGCTGACACCTCCAACAACTCTGCCCCTCAAAATGAAGCTCGTGGGGGTTTCTTTGGCGATAATCCGATGTTCACGGTCGATCATGAGCTTTGCGAAGATCATGCTCGCATGTGTGGAGGTGAGTACTGCTACGAGTCGTCCGAGTATTCTGACTACTCCGAATCTCCTGGAGACGACAGCGAGATGGAAGATCTCGACGACTTTGGTAAGATTTCAGTAGATGTTGATGATTACGTCTACCTTGACGCGGATGGAAATGAGCTGGACTCCGAGGGGCCTGGATTGTCAGATTTGAGATACGACTTTGAGAGTATGGTGTGTTCAAATGAAGAAGACGAAAACCAAGAGTAAGGTTATCAAGATGACTTGACGCGCTTGGTATGGGAAGTAATCGGAGAGCGAGTGCACATGCTGCAGGGGGTACGTAGAGGATGCATAGAGTAAAGAAATAAGAAGTTCCAAAAAATTGACTTTACTGCTTTTATATTCTTGTACAAATCTCGAGCACTACAGTGCCCGTCCTCGTAAGGTACCTCAGTAGGATAAAGACAGCAAAGGCTTGATCTCGACAGTCAGCCTTTTCACAAGCTGCCGTCTAGGAAGAATCCCGGGGCATAAACTGCTGCGAATCTTTTCTCAAATATGCCCTGACTCCAACCTCGAAACTTCACTCATAATCTTATGGCATGTAAATGAAGGAAGGACTGAACGTCAAAGTCCCAATCACTATAAGCCTCGGAATACCCCCGCCGGGACCCACTGCCATCCTACTCGGACTTTGTTGATAAGTGCCACAGCCCGACGGACAGCAGAGACTACATACCTAATAAACGTCTTGGCGGTCCCAGGTAACAACGTCATACGTAGTGACATGTTTACGACGATGGATGTATAATCCTTCAAGGTTCATATGAAGCAGGCCGCATGCTCAGACTGAGCCTCCCTGCTTCAGGTGTTTCGATGTTCAAGTAAGGTATATCCCTTCAAACCGTACGGAAAGTCACCTTTCTTGCCATCTTACTACGATCTATTACGACCTAAGAATATATTCGGTCCAGAATACTCCTGGACTTCATTCGCTCTCTCAGGCCGGGAGCCCATCCAGGCTTACAGCTTACAAGGCTAGAATCCTTTCAATATCATGGCTATCCGGGGACGCGCGTCAGTAGCCTAGTCAACTTACAGCACAAGTAATGAGAGCATTAGATTATTATTGAATGGTTTCTCATGAGTGAGGAACCACCGCCGGCGGTCGGATTTCATATTTCTTGTGCATCCTTCATACACTCTGCGCAGTCGTTAGTCGGATATCGGTGCTTGTGGAGATGTTCTTAGATGTTGAAGAGGAAGAACGGACGATTTTACGAAGAGGCGGTGTTGACCGACTCCTGCAGTACCGTAGTCGTGTTACATCCGGCCCCACGAAGCCGTCTATCAGCTTACTATGGAACCTCTCAACACCACCCCACGTGTTGAGATTTGTGGTCTCCTATCCCTTACCAGTAGTCCACAACTCGACGACAACCCTTGAGTTATGGCTTTAAACCGGGCCAAACTATGCCGGCATACCGATATTCTTTCAAGGACTATCTAGGCTTCAGCTTTTGCTCTGATCTCGAGGATTTGCATCCTTTGATTCCACTTGGAAGCGCATCCTTCAACGGATATTCAGATAATGCGAAAGATGACAACATCTCGGCAACTGAAGGCAACATCTCGAGACATGTAAGAAGAGCCAGCAAGTCTGCCAATGGACTATTCAATCCACAAAGTCAACCACCGCCTTCACATTCACCCCTCAACCACACCCACAACCCCCAAATCCAACCTCCTCCAAACCACCAAAATGCGCTTCACCGCCCTCCTCCTCACATCCCTCGCCACCGTGGCCCTCGCATCCCCCGTCGCCGACGCCAACATGGACCTAAACGCCGACGTCCTCGATGAGCGGGCCCCCATCAACGTCCTCTGCTCCTGCGCCGCCACCTCCTCCTGCGGCTGCAACAGCGTCATCGCCGGCTCCTGGTGCGTCTGCAACGGCGACGCCAAGGGAAGCTGGAACGCCGCACCTTGCCAGGGCAGTACTTGCGGATGTTCTGGGTTGGGCAAGTGGGGTGTTTGCGAGGTAAGCTTTTTTGAATAATCTGCTGTTTTCCAATGATCGGGCTAATGGGGTAGGATTTGTAGATTCTCTAAACGGATTATTGCTGCCAAGGCTTATAGTCACATGGAAATTGCGATGTATTGTGGTTGAGGTTGCATATCCATCGTTTTGATTGATGAAAGACTCAGAATAGGAGTGTTCGCTGTCGGGGCTGTGGAACTTTCCACATCCTTATGTAAATATTTGAGAGACATGAAAACTCGGTGGCACGCCAAGAATGGTCAATAAAGACAATTCACTCTCGGCACTTCTTACAAAGGCAAATCGGGTTGACGTTGTCGTCAAAGCAAGTAATCATTGTTGGATATCTGTGTAACTGGATCTCGAAACTCCTATCCCCGTAGCCTTCCCACGCTACAGACGCCATTTTATACCATGTAGAAGCCAGAAGCAGTGCCATGTATCCATACCTGAAGGCTCTATAATGTAAGGTAGGTAGAAAAGTCCCAAAGTTCGCCGTCGCTTTTCCCTCAGAAAGATAGCGCAAATCATGGTGCAGCTGTAAAATCAGGCCAAAGGCTCGCTCTTAATTGCGTCTCGGACACCAACACCCTCGGCGGTATCACCGCAAACTGGGCTAATAAGAGATCGTCCATGTCAGCTATCGCCGAGTCCGCAAACGGGTCGTCACCTGCGCCCCCGCCGGGAATGTTTGCGGGGTCTTCAATCGTGTCCAGACCAGGTCTGGCGAAACGTTTAGCGGTCTGCTCCAGCTTATGGTACATCTCTGCCCGGAGCAGTCGCTCAGCACGAGGGAGGCCGGTGGGCTTGGGGTCTTTGTCGACGCCAATGAGAACATGCAAGTAGTCGCGGGCGAGCAGGCTGTAGATATCTTGGACTTGGGTAGACATTTCGTCCTGGAGTCGTCGACATAGGCCCTCAAGCTGCTCCTTGACGCTATCAGTGGAGCGGCGGAACATGGTATCGCGGGAGGTCTCGACGTGGCTGACCATTTGATATTTCATGCGTGCGTAGGAACCGGGGCCTAGCAATAGTTAGTTAAGTGGGTTTGCGGAACAAGCAGAGATAATCTGTCTAGCTTACCTGACTCCGCGACACAAATATCATAAGCTGGTTGCATCTCCTGTTGAACGACAGGATGAAAGCCGCGGCTAGCCTCACGCTGCAACTCTTGAACGACTGTGCGAAGTGTCCCAGGGATCTCCCGGAGGCGGGCGGTGTGAGCTCGCAATTGCGTACTCAGCATGTTGATGCCATTGTAATCGGCACCTAGCTCTTGGGATCGTGCAATGACGCTGCCGTGGAAGGCCTCGAGTAGAAGGCGAGCGTTCATAGCGAAGCCCTCAAAGGCCGATGGCAGTCGACGTTGGAAAGCTCGCTCCCAGCCACTCGCTAGCTGACGAGAAATTGGCTCGAGCAGCTCTGCGTTGAAGTCGCGAAGACCGGACGCGCCCGTGTAGACCCCCGCCCTGCGGCAGGTTGCCTTGTAGGTGGCCCAAAACATCCCACCCTCGCTACGATGAGCACCCCAGCCAGATGCCATGGGACCGGCCGCACTGGCTGCCATCGGAATCGACAAGTCGAAGTAGTCATAAATGCTCTCCGAGAGCGCGTCTTTCACGGATGCGATGCAGTCATCAACTGCTTTAGCGAAGTCCTGTTGGGTGTTAGCCATTGACATTTAAAGAAAGATGAGCGCAACTCACCTTGTCTAGGGTAGCAAGCTGCACGCGCACACGGGTCCCCTCACTCTGCAACTCTCGTTGACTCAAGTGAGACCGCGATCCATCATTGGCAGCCCACATTTTCATTGAGTTGAGCAGTTGGCTGAGTTCGGTTAGGAAACGACGACCACTAGCAGCGCGACCGCCTTCGGTGAGCTTCTTGGCGTGCTGCTGGAGTTGAGGAACCTCTGTTTCGTTGACATCCCGGAAGCCATCGTTGTCGAAATCATCCTTCTGCAACCGTCCCCGCATCTTCTGATAAGCGCGGCTGCTCACGCAGAAGACGGGCAGATTGCGAGCGACCTTGTCGTAATCACGGATATCCTCATCGGGATTAAACGTCTCTTCATCTTCCTCGATTGCAGCCTCTTGATCCAGCCTACGCAAATTAGCCTGCATTCAACCAGTCGAGAGCTCAAGTTGACTTACTCCTTGATACCCATGGCAAAGTCACGCTGAATGGCGCCCTTTGAGTAGGTATTTCTTCCCTGGATACACACCGCCTTGGCTGCCCCAAGCAGCCGCTCTTCCTCTGCCTGAATGTTCTTGATCTCCTGCCGAATGTTGGAAAGCGTAGCATCCACCTCCTTGCGCCTCTGGCGAATTTCCTTCTTCTGGTTCTTGAGATCAGCTAGCTTCTCCTGGATCTTAAACTCTGTCAAAGGTTGCCGGTTCTGGTTGTCGGGGTTGTTTTCCTTATCACTGTCCGAGTTGCAGTCCTCGTCATCTGACTCACTGCTACTGGAGTAAGACGATTTGCGTTTCCGACTCTTGGATGAAGTGGCTCCACGTTTGCGTTTCTTACTCTCTGAGGGGGCAAAGACGGTCTGCCCATCCGCGTGTTTACTGGAGAGGTCGTCCCACTTATCCCAAAGCGTGTCGATTTGCTCGAGGCCGTCGACAAGGTCCGACTTCTCCTCCCTCGCGTCTTTGAGTGTTTTCCTGAGTTCTCGAAGTTCACCGCGTAGCTTCTCAATCTTCGACCAAGAAGCGGAGATGTCAGACTCGATATCGAGACTTTCGGCAGCCTCAGTCACTGAAATGTCGTCTGTTTTGGAGCAGATGAATGTAACAGCCGAGTAAATGCCATCGTACTTGAGCTGGCGCTTGAACGAGTCGCCCAGCAGTGATTTGGCTGTCTTGTCGTCGACTGCTCTGTTGATCGGAGCCACGATCCAAAGACCGGTGCATGCCTTCATGTAGTTCTGTGCTACAGCGGCACGAGCTGCGTTGGAGTCCTGGACACCGGGAAGGTCGACAATTACGGCACCAGTAGACAGGGCATTTGCCTTGGTGAATATCCGAACGACCTTGATCAGGGGCCAAAACTCCATGGGGACGTCCTTCTTATGCGGATTCTTCTCTTTGCTGTCCACATAACGTTGCATGCTTGCATACAAGTCTTTGGCCGTGGTTGCCCTCAGCTTCTTGACGCTGCCAAGAACACGGGCGACAGCAGGCTCGCTGGCCAATCGGTCAGGGTCGCTCTGAGCGATCATCTCTTTTGTTTTGTTGGGGTAAACGGATTTGATCTTGGCGTAAGCAATGCCAGCCTCGCTCTCCTCGTTGGCACATTCGCGTGAAATGTTACCGCTGTCGTCGAGGAGATCGGTGAAAAGAGTCTTCAGCTCCTTCTTCCAGTCATCGACGGAGATGAACTCTATCTCTGAGCGATAGAGCTCCTCGGGTTCCTCAGAATCGTTGTAGGAGATTTCGGTAGGAGAAGCGGTGCAAGCGCGCAAGCAGTTGGTCGGTAAAAGTCGCTCCTCATCGAGTAGGGCGTTGATGACAGAGCTCTTGCCAGCGCCTGTGTTGCCCACGACACCAGCAATGGTTTTGGACGGCCGAGAGCGGGCCTTAAGGTCTTCAATTGCCTCGACCCATGTCATAGCTTGCGTGCCTGGGAGGGAAACAGTGAGGCTGAGGGGAACCTTGAGACTTTCGAGGACCTCCAAGCCGATTTTGACACCATGTTCAAGGATATCGGGGGAGGTTTCTGTTGTCCATTGCTCTAGGAAATCGGGCACTTCCTCTTGGGGAGCAGGCTGCTCAGGTTCTTCGATAGAAGCTGGGGCATCGTTGGCTGGAATGGCGGGGTTGACAATGGGCTCAGCTTGCTCTTGCTTGACGGCTGCAATCGAAGCTGGCTCAGGTTTGATATAATGGAGAGGGGCGTTGGGCTGAGCAGTTGCCGAAGTTGGGGCAGCGATGGACGCTGAAGAATTTGAACTTCTGACCGAATGCTGCAGAGCCGTATCTGGACTCATGGGCAGCTCGTGCAGGCTGTGGTCCGGCCGCTCAGCCTTGACGCCCTCCATCTTGATTGGAGGCATCGTGGGATTGGTTTACGTGTGACGTGAGAAGTGACTAAGCCGATCTGGTCGACATGTGAGGCAAAGCGACCGTAGGTCAACACGACTGGAGTTGTGGCCGAAGTGCAAGTAACGACTGACCGAGGATCTGACTCATGAGATTTTGCGCGAGCGGGATGTCGTCAAAGCAACTCTCGACGGATCGTGGTGACTTTGACGGCGGTGGTTAGTGAGACGCGACGGGACGAGAAGCAATTAGTTTTCGCGTCTTGGGCGGGGCAGCACAGCACACGGCAGGAACACCTCTGGAAGATGGAAGTCGCCATCCCTGTACGTACCCCTGTCCTCCCCTGCAGGAAGGAGCCCCTTCCGATGATTCCTTCGGTACTCGAAGATCACGTGATTCTATCTCATCCCTTGGCAATTTTGATTGGTCAATTACCCAGAACGGATCTTGGCTTCCTGCTGTTCTCGAACTCGGAATGCAGGTGCAGCAAACATGTGCCTTCCATTGTGAGGTATCTTGTCTCGTCACGGCCTACTTACCTAAGCTGGAAGTCACCGAGGGAGTACCTACTTGAATAGGAACAGCAGGAAGGTGCTTGCGAGCTTGCGATTTGAGGCTCTGCTCGAAACTTAAGGCAGGAGGGAAGATCGGCAACAGATCAAGGGCATGTAGGGTAGGTACTGGTACTGCATTGGGGGACAAAAAGGATTCAGTCAGGTAACACAAGGTTGCAATTTTGTTGATGACATGAGATTTTATCTATCTCAAGATGATATGCATATCGAAAAAGCCTGGGAGATGGAGCAGGCAGTAAGTAGTAAATTTGTTACCTCAAATGCGAGGTCCTCGGCATCCCACACAGATTTCGGTGAACGTCGGTGTAACCGGTGGTAAGGCGTCTGACTCGCGACCTCCCTAATTCGTATTCGGTGTTGCCGAGGCGCAATTGAAATTCCTCACGATCTCTTTGTTTTTCCGTTCCGCCGGTTGATTTCTCCAGGATACTGTCTTGGCCCAGCCCATTCGAGGATTTTTGGATAAAAACTCAATTGTAGCCCAGATTTGTCTAAGACAAGTGACGATCATCAGCCCTCAGTCCTCACCGACGATAACGCCGCTTTCCCCACCTCCGCTCGTTCTCGCCCTTCCCCGTCTCAGCCTCCCCTGACAATCCACCCACACACACAACAAGCTTTCAACGACACCTCACCAGCCACCAGAACGCACACCCTTACCTTCTTCAAAGACCACATCATTCCAACAATGGGCTTCATCGGCGCAACGGCAGCAGGCCTCATGGCCGGCCTCCACGGCTACATCCTCGTCTTGGAAATGTTCCTCTGGACCTCGCCCCGCGGCCGCAAGGCCTTCAGGCTCACCGCTGACTTTGCCGAGAAGACAAAGGCCCTGGCCGCCAACCAGGGGCTCTACAACGGCTTCCTGTCCGCCGGCCTCGTCTGGGGTATCGCTCACCCCGTCCCCGAGTTTGGACGCCAGCTCCAGCTCTTCTTCCTCGGCTGCATCGTCGTGGCTGGCGCGTATGGTGGTGCGACGGCGAACCCGCGCATCTTCTTCATCCAGGCTGTTCCGGCTCTGGCTTCGATCGGTGCCGTTCTCTCGGGCTACTAAGATGCGGATGAGCAACGTCCGGGCCCTGTGGGCTCGGTGGTGGTTTGTTCGTTTTGAAGAAGCTGTGGCTTGGATGAGGAGTGAGGCCGTGGCGTACTGGGAGGACGGCTTGTGTAAACTGATGTTAGCTGCTGCGGATGGGAGGAGATAGGGATATCGGCTCGAATTATCTACTGTATTAACTACTAGCGACTACCTGATAGAGATCAATGGCCATTCGATTATTACCTGCAACGCTGCCATATCATGATACACAGTGCTCGAGGTTGATTCTGTTCACCGGTGGAGCCATCAGAGCTCTTCTTTCTCTCCACGCTTGCGTCTCTCCTCAGCCCTGAGCTCTTCCTGGAAAGCCGCCTGCTTGTCCGTTCTCTCCTTCCTGATCCGGGACTCTTCCCTAAACGCCTCCATCTCCTTCAAATGACCCGTCTCGGTGTACTCCTTCACCTGTTCATCCGGGTTGACCCAGTCATACGGGACTCGCTCAGTGATAAGATCGCGGTAGACGGGCTTGAACCCCGGGTTGCCCGCCAGCTTCCCTCCCTCAACATTGCGCCCGGCCTTGACGACGCCGTCACTGAAGATTGATTTCCAGTAGCCGCGGCTCTTCTCCGGGGTCGTCTCAACTGGCACCCAAGCCATCGGCTTAGGGGGGTGGTCTCTGAGATACGACACGGCGCGATCCCTGCGCTTGCGATAGGCCTTGTACTTGGCATCTGCCTCAGCTTTCTGCACGGGAGGCCAGTCTAACTTCGATGAGCCTGCCTTTTGACCGGACGCGATGCCTTGCCTGGCGGCCAGCGGCGGGAGACAAGTGGTGTCGAACCGGGCATCCCATCGGTCCGGCTTTTCGCTGGCTGCAGCCAGAGCCGACCAGTGGCCATGAAGCTTCTTGGCACGCTCATGTAAGTCGTGGGGCTCCTCTGGGATAGGACTGTGATGACTGCCACGATTGGCAATGGCCATGATGGTGCTGTCGACGCCGGTCTCTTGGATGACTAGCCAGGTGACATCTTGTCTGGTCTCCAGGTTATGTAGCATGACAGAGAAGGTATCGTAGTCATCATCAGGGAGCGATGTCGGGAGCATGCCGTCTCGGAGCGTGTCGCTGATGAGAAGCACCTCCCGGAGCGTTGAATGGACGGCCGAGTCAGTCGGGAGGTCCCGCCAGGGATTCGTGGCGGCGTAGTCCTCCCTGCCCGGTCTGGATGAGTCCAGTAAGAACGCCCGGATGAGATAGAGCCCGACCCCGAAGAGGGCCCAAAACCTCACTTGTCGACTTTTGAAGAAGGCAATGAACATTCGTTTAGGAGCGCCATGATCGGCAAATTCTTGGTGTAGCAATCCGGACTGCGACATCTCGTCTGTGGCGAGTCAACGGTTCCTGTCCTTTGGTCTTCCGTCGTTGAAGTTGATGAGATGTCGTTCAACAAGTAATGTCGTGCAGACGAAACGCTGGGGAAAGCCCGTGATAAGACTGAAGTTAAAATCAAGGAGCTGTCTGAGCTTCCAGGTTTGAGATGACTAGGCAGGCACGCAGGCAACCTCACACTAGCGTGTCGGAGCCGGCTCGGCCGATACAACGTGACGGGAAACATCAATATCACTGTCCAATTCTCATAAGAATGGAGTTTAGATGACAAGGCATGCGTGTGAGCTGCAGCACGTGGAAAAGGCAGGATATCGCTGCTCGTTCGTAAGAGGTTATGATTTTCTTACGGCGACTCAGTTTTGCGAGTTGCAGTGTCGTTTAGATGGAGTACTCTCACAAAATCTCAATGATGACTGGCTTCAGTGAGGTTTGTTCACAGGATCTATTTGCGGCGACCGAGTGATGTCGAGGTTGATGAGAACACCACGAGGTCGTCTCAACGTACGAGCATGACGTTCGCGTCGCACCAGGAAGGTGAGCATTTCGCAGGAACGAGGGGGAACCAACATCAACGTCGTCTCGTTTTCTTGCGTGTGATCGTCTCCTCCTTTCACCCCTGTACAGGAAACGGCTGCCATTACGATGCCGTTTGGCCGCATGAAACAGCCTAGAATATTTAAACTCTCCCTTGATCTTGTTCGAATAGTCTTGTCCAATGAGGCTAATGGAGGGGGTTAGGAATGCGAGTCGTGGTGAGGTGAGACTGGCTGGGCGCGAGACATGAGATGAGATGAGGAGGCGGGCGGCGTGGAGACTGAGTGAGTACATGAGCATGAGGGAACGGGTGAGAGGTTGTTGGATGAGATGCGGATACCCGGAAGGGCTGGATTCTATTAAGTGACATTCCTTCTTTTGGTATGTTACCGTTATTCTCCCTCGCTTATTGCGTTGTGGTTTCTTTTGCTCAGTCTGCATACGTGTCTGTTATTCAAGTCATTGTCAACACCTGTCAAGATAGGTACTCCATCCTCGTCGTATTGATCGTCACCCGACAGCTCTTGAAAAAGCATAAGGGGCTACTTTAGACAGACAGCCAGGTTTAGTGTAAAATGTCAGTGAGCTCTAGGGGATGACCCCTGAAAAGTTTAGCCAGATTTTAGCATCCGATCCAAGTGCGAATCCCAGCCCAAGCCCTGCAGCAAAGCCCGATGGCTCCAGGTTGGACAGGACTGGCTGCCCTGCCTTAATTGTCCGAGCTCTTGCCCTGCGTCCAACGTCAGTGTGGACGCCCCAGGGTGGGGTCACGTGTAACGCACGTGATGCAACCATCGTCATTGCCTCTTGCAGTTTAGGTACCTGCCTTACTGTATATCCGTAGCTACTGCCTGGCAATTGGAGGAAGGTGCTGGGCATTAGGCTCACAGCCTGGGAAAGCACCGGGAGAGAATGGAAAGGCATAGACAACAGGACAGTAGGAGCATTGCATTCCATTATGAAAACAGGCAGTAGCTGCGTAGCATGTACCTACTTTAACATAAACTGTACCTTCCTCATACACAAGCCCAAGTCTCAACGTCATCCGCTCTTACCTTCCTTTCCCCGGTACTTTCATCCAGAAAAACGTGTGGCCGGGACCGGATAAACCACGGGCAACACCATTTGGGGGCTTAGCGGCTGTTCTGTCCCCACAGTTCCTCCCTGGTCCACACCATCGTGGGTCCTTCCGAGCTGGCAATTTTCCTTTCAAACCTTTGATTTTTTCGACGAGACAGCTCACCCTCCTCACCCACCCTCGCACGACGAACCGCATACGCTCGCGAACCGACCTCTCGGTATCTCGATCAATCCATCGTTTAGCAAGCCTGATATCAGCTACCTGCATCCCGCATCACTTCACGTGTATCATCATCTACAGCCCGTCGCGCGCCGACTATCCCACAACTCAATTACAGAATCCCTTTCGTGACTTGTCCACGACAGATCGATCAGCAACTACCGAACCACCAAAAAATACCACCACCCCTGCGCGCTGTTTGCAACCCCCAAACACTTGCTCATCACCAAATACCTTCACTGCGCATAATTAACCATGCCTTCGAATCTACCATCAAGCTTCGCCTCGGCCGCCGCCGGCCAAAACGCCAACCGCGACGCGAGAGGCGGTCGACAGGATGGACGTGGAGCTGGCAGCGGGGAATGGTTAGTGACTTCCCGTGTTTCGCCCAAAACCCCCATCGCTACCCTGCTATTTTCTTCTCTTTCTGTTCGCGTCTTGGGATCACGTAGCGACGTTGGTGCTTGCGTGATGTTGGTGATGGTAACTTTATGGACCGCCACCTCGATTGGCTCTCATCACGTCGTCGCAATGTCGCCAGATATCAGGATGCACGGCGCGGCCAAGATGTAAATGTGAGCTTTTACTAACACCTTAAACAGGACTCGACGTGACGGTAGAGTTAACGGCACCCTGACCTTCCGACGATCCTCGACAACTCCCGGCCAGCCATCCCAACCCGCAGCCTCGTCCGAAAACGCCTACTCCTCGACACCGCTCGATTCCGGCGCAGTTCCTCAGACACCTGGCGCTGCGACGTATGACTATCCACCCCCTTCACAGTACCAGAAGGACTCGATTGTCGGTGTGTACAAGAACGGTGCGGCGGAAATAGACGCTTCCAACGTGTTTGAATCGGGATGGACTCCGGGACACACAAACGGAAGTGCTGCGCGAGGTTGGGGAAAAACCAATAATAATCACAATTCGCAAGATCCTGCTGCCTGTTGGAACAACCGGGGCGACAGTAACCCCGTTGCTGTCAACGGCATGTCTGAAGAGGAGAAGGAGGTGCGTCGGTCACTGGGAGCAGGTCACCAGGTAAACGATACTAATATGAGACAGGCATTCGCAACCGATGTCAACTCTACTCTGAAGCCTCCTATCCAGAACAAGGAGGGTACCCAGGGGCCGGGACCAAATGGGCGCAAGGCTTCTCTATCGCATGGCAGCGCCGCTGGATATGGATTGCAATCGCCATCGTCTGCCTCAAGACCTGGAACCCGGCGCCGAGAGACGACGGATTCCAACCCTTTTGGCAGCGGTCCCCTCGCTTCACCGAGTGCCACACGATTCGCTCGCGATGACCAACAGTCTTTCCTGTTTGGTCGCAAGAACAACGACGTCAAGGAGCAGGAGCCCGGCGAGGATGAAGGTGCTGGGCAGCCGCAGACCAAGCCGCCCTTTGGAAACCTGACGCGTAGCAACACGGCGGGTAATCCTTCCATGGGTGCCAATATCAGTTCTCTCTGGGGATCTTCTTCTCAGACACCTTCAGCTGGGGGTGCTGTTAGTGGCGGCGGCGGCGGCGGTGGCATGGGTAGTTTCGGCCAATTCGCTTTGCCCACTCCAACTTCGACTATTGGCGGTGGCAACCGTGGTGGAAGTCGCTTTGCAAACCTCATGAACAAGGAAGGCACCGAAAGCCCCGCAAACAAGCCTAACGAGGCTTCGACCCCTGAAGCGACCCGATCTTGGCGATCTCGGCCCCGAACCGACACTGACCCCTTCGGCGGAGACGACAACTTGTCAGGCAGCGCCGCACTTGGAGGCGCTCAAGACACCAGTCCCCCGCCAATGCCCAACCCTAGCAACATTGGGATGTTTGAGACACCGGTCAAAGGTTCGACGGGAGACTTTGGCATGTCTGGACTGAACCTGGGACGCCCTGCGGAAAATGAGCCAGGCCCCGCGAGCCCGTCGGAGACGAACCCGTATCGCAGCCCACCGGCCGACCGAAACGAATCGCAGGAGGAAGGATCAGGCGAAAAGCATCACGGCGGTGTGGCTGTCGGCGCTGAACAGAATTCTAGCTTCGGCACTGTGTCGCGCGGCTTCCCGACTCATGCTTTCGACGGCAGCGACCGCAGTCAGACTAGCAGCGCTGGGCCTCGAGGTTACGCCTCAGGCTGGCCTGTACCTTTGCCTACGGGCACTCCCGACCGTGAGCGCGCCGGCTTCGGCGGAGTTTTCGGCAATGCTCTCTTTAGTCCCATGGGCACTGATCTCCAGTCTCCAGGGTTGTCGAGCATCGGAGCTGGCGTTTTCGGTCCGGCTAGTGCTGGCGGCTTCGGTGGCCCCGGTACGATCGGTCGCAGTAAGCTGGGTTCTCTCTTCCCAGCTGCCATGCAAGCACAAATGCAAGGACACGAGCAGGAGAACTTGAGTGACTCACTGCCCGACCTTCGACAGAGCAATCCTCTCGGCGCAATCGGTCGCAACAATTTCAATGTTGCGCCAAGGGACACTGGAAGCCCTCTGCGAAGTGGCCGTGGAGGAGTCTTTGAGGAAATGTTCCCCTCTGACCCAACCCGAACCCACAGCGGTTTCGGAGGTTCAGACCACCCTGGCGCTACGGGTATCGGTCACCCCCAAGCATTCACCCCCGGAGCATCCACCGGAGGCGAATTCGGATCGACTCCGGTGCGCCAGATGGTCATGCCTGACCGTATGCGCTGGGTCTACCTTGACCCTCAAGCACAGGTCCAGGGCCCTTTCAGCGGTCTGGAGATGAACGACTGGTACAAGGCCAACTTCTTTACCCCCGATCTGCGAGTCAAGAAGGTCGAGGACCCTGAGTTTGAGCCTCTTGGACAACTTATCCGTAGGATTGGAAACTCTAGAGAGCCATTCCTCGTTCCCCAAATTGGCATCGCCCATGGCCCCCCGTCTCAAGCCGGACCGTTCTCTCCCAGCGGCGGTAACACTGGCGTCATTCCTCCCCTCAGTGGTGTTTTCCCCAGCTTTGGTAGAACTTTGACTGCGGAGGAGCAGAACAACCTGGAGCGCAGGAAGCAGGAGGAACAGCAGGCAATGGCACAACAGCGAGACTTTATGATGAGGCAGCAAGCTATCACCCGACTGCAAGGTCAAGGCCCAGGTGGTGTCTCAGGTTCCTTGCACCACCAGCACAGCGCTCACAGCTTGCAGAGCCAACCTAGCTTCGGCAGCATATCCTCGCCGATTGGTCCTCACACCCAGCAGCCGCCCATCGGAGGCGGGGCTGGACCGACGTCTGGGTTTTTTGACTCAGCTGCCCAGCAGGGATCTACTCAACCGCCTGTTGGTTCCGGACTCGACCATTTTCGTGAAGAGGAGCTTGCCACACTGAACGCTTCCGAGCGCCAGATGCTTGCGAACGTTCAAGTCCCGCCCAGTCTTGCAGGTCTTTTCAATCAACAACCGGTCGGCGCTCCCGCGAGTGAGGGCATCCTCCGGAACCACCTTCCTGGCACTGAGCAGTTGGACGAGGACGAAGAGGGCTTCCGCGAGCGCTTGAAGGAATTCGAGGACATCCGTGCCGAACGCGACTCCGAGCAGTCTCAAGAAGCTACGACCAGCCAGAGCATCCAGGAGGATGTTGCCCAAGATATTTCCGCGCCGGCCATCGCCCAAGCTATCAGCAACGAACAGCACAAGTCGTCACCCGCCCCTGGCATGAAGGAGATCATGGAGGAGGAGCATCAGCTTTCTTTGACTCAACGGGTCCAACAAGCTCAGGCTGCCGCCGAAGCTGCGAAGAATGCCGCCGCTGGCCTTCCCATGCCGTTCCCTCCCCCTTTGCCTGCGGCTGGAACACCTCTTCCGGCCCCCACGGCCCAGCGTGTCCGTTCCAACCTGCCTGAACAGTACAACCGTTCTCAGACTGGAACTCCCGACACTGGGTCCGCTACTGAGCCCCCGCCATTGGCTCCTTGGGCCAAGGAGGCTGCGAGTCGCAAGGGACCTAGCCTGAAGGAGATCCAGGAAGCCGAAGCGCGCAAGGCTGCCAAGGCTGAGGAGCTTGCCGCCGAGCGCCGCCGTGTGGTCCTCGAGCAAGAAGCTGCGACTCTTAGAGAGCGCGAGAAGGCTATTGTCGCTGCTACCGGCCTGCCTACCACCAGCACCTGGGGTAACGGCTCCCCAGTGGCCGCCGCCAGCCCCTGGACCAAGCCTGCCGTTGTCAAACCTACTCCGGGCACCAGCACCCCCAGCAAGCAGAAGACTCTTGCCGACATCCAGCGTGAGGAGGAAGTCAGAAAGCTCAAGGCCAAGGAGGTTGCCATCCAGACCGGACTGGCGACTGTTGCTGCCGGCAAGCGCTACGCCGACCTTACAACCAAGCCCAATGCCGCTCCTGGCCTTGGACAGCCCAGCACGCCAGCCCCGGCTCCTGGTCCCGGCTGGGCTACCGTCGGAGCCGGCGGTAAGGTCAAGGTGCCCACTGGACCTGCCTCTCAGACGAGATCGGTCAGTGCTGCTGGCATGAAGCCGGTCCCGGTTGTCGCCAAGCCGGCGGCTAAGCCTGTCGCCACCGCGGTTGCGGCTGCTCCTGCTAAGGGCAATGTCGCAATGGACGAGTTCAACAAGTGGCTCCACCATGAGCTGTCCCGCGGCCTTAACGGAGTTGATGGTAAGTCTTCCAGTTCAATTGGGATGCGAAATTCAATGCTAACAACCTGTCTAGTGGACACTTTTGCCGGCATCCTTGTTGAACTGCCCCTTGAGGACGGTATCATTGCAGACGCCGTTTACGCTAACTCCAAGACGATGCATGGAGCGCACTTTGCTGAGGAGTTTGTTCGCCGCAAGAGACTTGCCGACAAGGGCATTGTTGAGAAGCAGGGCGCTGTTGATAGTAAGACGGGCAGCTCTTCTAGCGGATGGAACGAGGTTGCCAAGAAGGGCGGCCATAAGGAGCAGCCTCCTGCTGCCACTGGAGACGCTGGCATTCAGGGCGCGGGCTTTAAGGTTGTGCCCACCCGCAAGAAGGCGGGAAAGAAGAGCAACTAGGAGCAGCCTGCCGCCAAGAAAGCGGGAAAGAAGAACAACTAGGAAATACTGTGGGACTCCCGCGGCGGAAGATGGCCTGAGAATTGCTAACTGGACGATGCTTGGCGATGATGTCTCGATGGCGAAGTTGTGGCTCTGGATTACTGTTATTGGTTTACAGCGTCATGTAAGCGGTCTATTGTAGCGATAGGTAGCATGTCAAAAAGCATTGTTGTCCGCGTATGAGTGTTCACGAATTGCGTTGCAGCTTCCTACTGTCATTAAGAGCTGATTGAGATGAAGGTGAGTGTACGTATACCTGAGGTCATCTACGAGGTGAGATGAATATGTTCTCGGTGAGATGCGAGGTGAGGGAGCCGCTTATGTAAGGCAGTATGTGAAAATTTGCCCCGCCCCCACCATGGAAATTTCGATTTCACAGGGCATCGAAACACGCCGAATTCACCGTCTGAGTCACTTGTTCTTCAACCAAGACAAGCCTTATTGCTATTGATCTTCTAGACGAGATTCAGACTACAAGGGAAACAAAAGTTTTCTGTCATTGGATACTTTTCATTCTGAAAAAGGGACGTCATCGAGGATTTCTTTTGGCGAAAATACCCCGCGACGCGCGGGGCAGAAAACAACGGTCACTTATCGCGACCTAGAACCCCTCCATATCACAAGCGAGACGCAACCGTTTCTGTCAATTTCAAATACACCATCCAAGCCATGGCGGACGCGCAAACGAACGGTAACCAGGCTGCGGCCTCTTTACTATCTAGCTTCACAGACGGCGCATACATCGACGTCCTAACGTCCACCGTGGCCAAGGATCTCATCACCAGGTTTACCAGCAGCCTCCAAGCTCAGACCGCCGAGGAAAATGCCAACCCCACAGCAGCATCACAAGAATCACTATCCGAAGATGAGATTGCCGTCGGTCTTGCTGCTCTCAACGCATTTTTGCAATCAAACGTCACGGGACCGGTGCTGGAGAACGCTCACAAGGTAGAAGCACTCTTCACTGAGGTCTTCACAGCAGGCAGCGACGGAAAGACATCAGCAGCAGACACCCTCAAGGCGCTGCGCAAAAGCAGCCTCAAGGCCCTCGAAGTCGACGGCGTCTCACCTTATCCTTACATCCCGCACATTGAGTTCTTTGCGCTCGCCCACCATGTCTTCCACGAAGCTTCCTCAGCCAGCGACGCCGTCATCCAGCTCTCTTCCTCTTCATCCCGCCTGAGTCTGCCCTGGACCCGACTGCGCGTCAATGTGTGGCACTTCAAGCTGCTCAGCCAGCCGTCCCTCGGCCCCGGCGCCAACTTTGCAAAAGCGTCGCAGTGGATCGACGTCCCGACGCTGGCGGAGCAGATTAACCTCGGTATCGAGACCGTCAGGAAGCAGATCCTCGATGAGGACGTGTGGTCGACGGGCGAGGAGGTCTGGTCGCGCGAGGAAAAGGTGCAGTTCTTGCTTGAGGTGTCGAATACGCACATCATGCTTGGCCGAGATGATCGCGCGCGCGAGGCTTTGGAGGAGGCGACCAAGTTAAACAAGTTTGCGTATGCGCTTTCTGGTGCGCTGGGAAAGAGGACAAAGTTCCAGGAGAAGAGTACGAGTCAGCTTGTTGTTCTTGCCAAGAGCGATGCGACAACCGAGGGTGCGGAAACTGCTGCAGGTGGCGAGGAGGCCAAGCCTGAGGCTGTTGCGCTCAATGATGATACCCTACTCGAAGAGATTCAGTTCTCCAAGGAGGCGAGCGGCAAGCATGGTGAGCTCGCTGCCACGTCGTCGGGCCTCCCCGCGGCGTTGGCGGATTTGTCTCCCGAGGCACAGCCGCAGCTGTCACCCCTCGACCAGATCATCCTCCTCACTGAAGCAACTCTCAAGGATACCTTCTCTCCCGTCGATACCTTGACCTCGGAGGAAGTCCTCCCGTACGCTGTGCGCGTGGTCTCGGACAAGGCTACAAACTGGCAAATCTACTCACAAGCCCTCCTCGTCCGCTCCCGCATCGAAGTCCACCGCAGCAGAACAGTAGAAAGAGGTGTCCTGCAAATGCAAGCCGTCGTAGACCAAGTCGTCGTCGACACCTCGGAAGCACCCCGCCCCAAGGCCGAAGACGTCGCCAACGACGAACCCGCAGACGTCCCCGCCATCGCCGTCTCCGCCCCAGGCGAGTCCGAGATCGACACCTCAGCAGCGGCTCCCGTAGACACAGAGAAACCCACATCCTTCTTCCCCGCCGCCAAGGAAACGGATACCGCGCCCGCGCACGTCCGACTGCAGTACATCCACGCGCTCTCCTCCCCTCCGAAATGGCACCTCGAGTCCGAGCTCGCCTACTCCTGGGCCGGCGTCGGCTCCCTCGTTTCCGCCCTCGAAATCTTTAAGCGCCTGCGTCTCTGGGCCGAAGTCGCGCTCTGCCTCGCTAGCAGCGCCTCCAACGACGACGACTCGGGCCGCGGCAACGGCGGCGAGGAGAAGGCCAAGGCGCTTGTGCGCTGGCGTCTGTTTCATCGCACGGGACAGCTTCTCGTCGAGAACGCGGATGCGGATGCGGAGGACCTTGAGGCGCGGGATGTCACGTACCTTAATCCTGCTGACTTCACCGGCCCCGAACGGAGTCCGCCGCCGCCGAATGCGCCGAGATTGTTTTGTATCCTGGGTGATTTGGAGAACGAGCCGGCGCATTGGGAGCGGGCGTGGGAGATTTCGAACCGGCGGTTTGCGCGCGCGCAGAAATCGTTGGGCGAGTGGTATCTCTCGCAAAAGGAGTGGACTAAAGCGCAGGACGCGTATAAGCTCGCGACAAAGTGTAACCGGCTGAGTCCCGAGATGTGGAGCCGGTTGGGCGATATCAGTCTCCGGCTGGGCCAGTTCCCGGATGCCGCGGAGGCGTATAGCCGGGCGATTGGCGCCGCTGGGGATGTCGTTGGTGGCGAGGACGCCAGGACGTGGAGTAATTTGGGAAGTTCGCTTTGGAGCATGTACCTCGAGGCTGTGGAGGAGGTGAAGAAGCAGATTATCGAGGAGAAGAAGAATGGTACGGCAGAAGACAAGGCGGACGCTGAAGAAGAAGAGGAAGATGATGAGGAGCCGAAGAAGCGGGAGAGTAAGGCCAAGGACCCGGCTACACTGCTCTCTCAGTCCCTGGCCGCCTACAAGCGCGGCGCGTCCATTGCGCAGGATAACTGGCGCATCTGGGACAACGTCCTCACCCTCGCCTCGCGAATGCGTCCGCCCGCCGTCTCGGAAATGGTCCAGGCCCTTCGCGCCATCATCCGCATCCGCAACTCCGAGGACGCGCTCGACGAAGACGTCCTCCGCACTCTGCTCCAGGAGAGCGTGCTCACCAAGGAAAAAGAAAACGACGAGAGCAAGACGGGAATCTACGCCCCCCCGCGCGGTACCATCGAAAAGGCCGTCATCGCCCTTTTCGAAGAGAGCGTCGTCCCGCTCATCACCACGCGCTCGGAGCTCTGGGAACTCATTGTCCGAGAACGGGTCTGGAGACGGGATTACGCCGGTGCCGTGGATGCCGCGGAGAAGGCTTGGAGGGCGGCGATGGGGGCCGGTGCCGGAGGCGGGTTGAAGGCTTCTTCGGCGGGATCGGGCGGGGCCGGGGACGATTTGAGCCGGAATTGGCTTGCGGATAAGGGGGCTTGGGGGGTTGTTGTTGCGAGAACGGATGAGCTTGTTAGTGTGTTGGAGAACTTTGGGGGCGAGGTTGAGGGGTTGGGGAGCCGGTGGAGAGGCAAGGCGAGGAATGCGGTGAGAAGTGTGATGAGTAGAGGAAAGGAGGCGTGGGAGGGGACGGAGGAGTGGATTTTGTTGGAGGGGATGATGGAGGGGTTGAAGTTGTAGATTCGGATGTGATTAGTATCATACGAATCACCTGAGGGTGGGTTGCTGAGGTTTGATGGATAGATATGAGAATAACAAGGTCGTGATGACGATCGTCTCCCAATCGTCCTATACGGATACTAACTTGCCATCTGTGATGGGTCGAGTGATTTCTGACGTCTATGAAGGAGTATGAATGAGTAGGTATTTGCTGTCTATCACTAACCATTGGTATCTACCTAGATCTTCCACTAAGGTCGTTCGTCAGTTGCAGACTGAGGTTATCTCATCAGCAGATCGACCTCTTCAAGATCTATAGCATCCACCAAAATTCACCCTGCAAGACCTGCACGGCATGAGTGCACTCAAACCAGAACTCCATGCTCGTCATTCAGGTCCACGCAGCGTCACCGGCAATCCCAAATGCCATCAATAACTCGAGTAGAAGCTCGTCAATCAGAAAGCTTCGGTCGATAGACCTCTCATTACCTCGTATCAGTGAATCTTTTCACGGAATTTTCTCATCTCATCACTTAAACTCACCACAAGTTCGGACGAGCGTTCACTGGGGCAGGGGCGTCTGGAGACTATGAGTCACCCATCAATGCACCGCTTGTTGCTTGACTCCTGATTGCGTTGGATGTAATTCTATGCAAAAAATTTCTTGAACTGCCTCACAGCGCATATATTCCTTCAAGAAGAAAAGGTCTCGACCGCTATGCTGCCTGGAATCTGGCGCGGGAACGGGCCCGGTTCAGGGGTTGCCCCGGAAAAGCGGGGATGACGGGACCGGGGAAATCAGGCAGACTACCCGGGTCAAGCGGCACGGTGCTCGGTAGCGTTTGTTAGTGGCAGTTCTGCCTGAAAATCATTCCGATGCCATGTGAATTGGGTTCATTCTTTGACTTCATCCTTGTTATTGTGCGTAGTCCCACTGTTGTTTCTGAATATAAATGTCAGAGGGTTTGGCCATTGGAAATTCACATTTGGCGTCTCATCAGTCTCTCGAGTAGATCACCATTGCTCATCTCCATCGACAACTTGTCTCTAGACCGGTGCAGGATATGTATATTCGCTACGACAGAAAGAATCCTTCAGATCATCTCTCACTTGCACGAATGCCTCCCGTCACAGCCCAAGAAAACACCAACATGTCCCTCAGATTCAATAACTTCAGCGACGGTGAGACGGTGTACCAGGTACGCGCAGAACTCATACTGTCAATGAGAGCACATCATCCCAACGAGACTTATCTAATTTCATCATCCTCCACCAGCGCTGTGTGATCATCAAGGGAACCTACACCCCCAGCCCCAATACCAGCGATGACTTCGCAACAGTCGAAGCCACCGATGGCACCAACATAACCTTCCCAGTCCAAACCTGGCCCATCGCAGACAACAGGATCAAGATCATCGTTCTCCTCTCCCCAGGCCTCAACAAACTCACCATCACCCGCTCATCCGGCACCCAAGACACGATCACGCAGCTGGACCTAACCTACATCCCCCTCCTCCAATCGCCCCCCCTCCACCTCGCCATCATGGTCGCAAAGGACTCCCCCCTCCTAATCGACTGCCCGCCCCTCAAATACGGCGCCTCCTCCACAGCCCATGCCTCCCTCGACGCCGCTGTCGCCAAGCTCCGCATGTCAGCGTATATGTGGCAGGCCCTCACTGCCGAGGACATGCGAATCAAGGGCCTCGGTCGTCGATCCTTCAGGCTGGAGGAGGAATGGGCTGCTGACACGACTAGTCGCACGTTCCTTGACGGGCTGCACGAGGCTGCTCTCTTTGACAGCGGTGCCATGAGGTCTACTGCCAAAGTCCATGTCGTGAGATCGGAGAGGACGACGGCGGAGATCCGCGACGCAGAGGTTGCGCAGCAGAATGAGGCCGCAAAGTCGAGGGATGGACTGTTTGACTACTTTCTGGAGGCGCTTGCGGCCCAGGGTTCACCTTTCGAGGCTTCAGCGCATCCGGTTGTGGCGGGCATGATTCTCGACTCGCACTTTTCCGTGAGTAAGAAGCTCATTCTCGGTCACGCCGCGCTGGGATGTCATAACCTGACCGGGGTATCCCTCGGCATGATGGGTAGTCACCTGGCGTACTCCTGGCCTCGATTCATGGAAGAGGTCTCGGACTGTCTTCTCGATACCCGCGCCCCAGGCACAACAGTCGGCGATGATAACGGAGAGTGCGGAACGTTTTGGGAGGCATGTTCGATCGGGCAAGGCGCGTTCTTGCACGAGGTCGGACATGCTTTTGGGGCTCCGCACACTACTGGTATCATGGCGCGCGGGTACTCGGGTCACTGGCCTCGAAACTTCCTGGTCAAGACAGCGTACTCCCAGAAGATCAACAAGGATGGTTTCGTCGTTGTCGATGGCCAGACGGCGAATGACGCCAAGTGGGATCTGCGGGATGCCCTGTCCTTCCGGTCTCTCAACCACTTCTGGCTGCCCGGCGACACGAGGCTGTCGGCAGCGCAGCGATCCAGCGCTCCGACCGTCTCTCTCATCAATATTGAGACTGATGATGTCGGAGTTGAAATTGCCTGTGCCGCCAACCTCGCCCGGATGGATTTCAACGGCAGCTTGGAACTCCTCCCCTCCATGGATAGCCCAGCTTGGAAAGTCTCCTACACTCTCAAAGAACTCGAATCCCGCTTCAGCCGCGATGAGAGCCTGAAGCTCTACGTCCTCGGCATGAACGGCAAGACAAAAACGGTGCGCGATATCTGGCGCCTCTTCTCATCAACCACGTACATCCGTATCCCCGGGTCAGACGTCCTCCTGCACAAGCGCTCAGTTGTGACCAAAGACCTCGAGGAGGCGGCGGACGACGGCGAAGAACACAAGTTTTGGTCATGGGCGACACTGCTTACCCGGCGCAAGAGTGATGGGTCTATTGTGCGTGCGACTTCAGTCGATGTACGGACTGGGTGTATCCTCGACGGCGCGTATGTGCAGTTCCCTGGTGGCGCGCGTGTCAACTGTGGTCCGAGGATTAGTAAGTGGGGTGGTGGTGAACATACGTTTGGGGGCCATGCGTCTGAGGAGGTTCAGATCCCCAAGGGCGCGGAGATTGTCAAGGTTGAGGTGTCTAGGGAAGAGGATACGCTTCGTGGCATGAGGATCCATCTGAGTGATGGTTCGTCTGGTGGTGCTTTGACGGGATATGGGGATATTCCCGAGACCTCGACTCTTGGTGAGTGATTGACGCAAGACTGTGATTACTCAAGGACGTTACTAACTCGATGTGACGAAACAGAGGCACAAGCGGATGAGCGTGTTGTCGGGTTCTATGGCCGCAGCTGGTGGGGTAGCAACTTTGACGGCTTGGTCGAGTTTGGTATCATTACCGCGCCCAAGGACGTTGAGCTCCCGGCGATTGTGTACGGAATGACGGACCTCCAGAATACGGAGGGAGGATGTGGGGTAAGGCTCTTTTGCTCTTGAGTGAGATCATTGAATGAAGGTAACTGACATCTCCTAGGGTGAAGCAGACTTTGAAAGTGGTGATGAGGACATGGACGACGAGGAGTAATAGATGGCAATGGCTTCCGGTTGCTGAAGTTGAACCGGCTTTAGAGCATATACTGATCTACTAGCAATAACCGAATGATTTCACACGTTGTCTCGTTGCTCTCGTGAACAATGAAGTTGCTGAGATCCCTTATTTTAGTCATCCAACTTACTACCTCCTGTTCAACTTGACGAAGGGACCGCCGACTGGACCAGCAGCAGTATCTCTTCCTCAACCATTCGTAGTGGATCAAGCGTGCCCGCTTCCTTCTTTAACTCTTCCGCACGCATTTTGTACTTCTCATCACCCAGAACTTTCACCACCGCCTTCCCAACGGCATTCTCAGACGGAGGTGACTCCGTCAGAAACACTCCCAAGCCAGACCACTCGATCCTTTTTCCGATATCTGGCTTATCAAATGTGTTTCCAGCTTGCACCATCGGCACCCCATTAGAAACAGCGTGCTGAAACCCTCCATACCCGCTGTTAGACACGAAGACGTCTGCATGCGTCAGGATAGCGTCATATGGCAAATAGTCTACCACGCGAGTATTGGCGGGCAACTCTCCGTTTTCGAAAGTGCTCGTATCGAGAGTCGCTCCAGCCACGCAAAGACACGCGACGACTAGAACGTCAGGATTTGCTGCCAAGGCCTTCATTGTTGGGATGATGAGTTCCTGGTGGTCCAGCACTTCGGTCCCTTGGGCCACAAACACAATCTTCTTGCGGCTCGGATTCGACGAGTGGAGAGATGAGCTGTTTGCGAGGATGTCGCTGAACCACGTCGGATATGTGAGATTAGATGGGATGGGTTTGATCGGGAGTGTCCCGGCAAACTTGATCTTCTGCGGCCAGTCTGATGACGGGAACTCGAGACTGGGAAGACACATTTGCAATACTGTGTCATGACAAGCCGTAGATGCGTCCCAGAAGGGATGCTCCATACTTGTTGAGAGCCCTTCGTAAAGGGACTCGACGGGTTTGGAGCATCCCATCATCCCCAAGACCCATCTCGCGCGATCCTCAGCCGCGCCACTCCACGTCTCTCTGTTCACTTTGATATTCCTCGTCCGCCCTTCTTCACTGTCGTCGAAAGGTAGTCCAGATCCCCATGGAGGTCGTTCAGGGTTGGCCCAGAATGTCGGAACCACGCCGATACCGATGGTCTGGATCTCCTCATCCTCTTCAAATGGCTCGGGTAGGTTAGCACCCAACTTCAAAGCCAGCGTTCCTGAGAAGCACGTATCTGACAGGACGATGATCTGACAACCAGGCTTTCGACGTCGCATACCCGCCATCGCTACCCGTACCGATTCAAGCCCGCTTGGTAACAGCGAGATGAACCCTCCATCGAGAGACGCGGCCAGTCTCGTGGCTGGATCTGAAGCGTGTGCGATATCTGGCCATCGAGAAGGATCGTCGAGCGTTTTCCAGAGCCCGATGATGGGACTGACGTGGGCCCCGACTGCTTGGATTGTAGTCTTCCACCTCGTTGTTCCCAGCACTGTGACGTCGAAGCCGCTGTTGATGAGGTGTTTGGTGATTTGGAGCGCTGGTCGCATATGTCCCTCGCGTGGGGGCACAGCGTAGAGGACTAAAGGCTTTGGTTTTTGCTGGACTAACATTTTGGTCGTTGAAATATCACCAGTTCGGCGAAGATATCAAGACAGAGCAGGCAATTCCGTTCTTTCGGACCTCTTGTCAAGTTTGAAGTTGACATTGAGATGAGGTGTCCGGATGGGGTCGTCGTCAAACTTTCGTTATCATAGCTTATTCGACTAGCTGATGGGTCCGGGGTCTAATCGAGGACTAAATTGCTGTCTGATAAGCAAGGGCCACTCGACTAAAGCACCCTGGGGTCGAAGATCGAAGCTTGTCTGAGAAGACTGAGATACACGCGAGTCAGCCCATGTGCAGGAATTAAGAAACCATCGTCAACCACATCTGAGCCCAGGAGGACTCGGAGACATCTGGCAATGAACACATCCCATTGGTTCCTTTGATTCGCGAGCTTGATGCCAATAGACATGTCTGCGATTGCATTTGTCATCTCTACCTGATTAAGAGGAAGTGCACTCGGAATTTCTTTCGCTCTCACCACATCAGTGATCGCTCGACTTACTACAGGGGACCCCCTGGAATGTTCTCATTTATTTTGAGTTCAAGCTCTATACGTTGATGGGAAAGGTCGAATTCAGGGAGCTTTTGAAAGTCGCCTGACTCGAGGAGTGCGATAAGAGTTGAGATAACTCACATTAACATCTTGCCAGCAAAGAACTCAAAACCAGGTAAGATGGAGAAATGGCCCATGTGTCCAGTATACCTTATATCAAAGAGAGAAACAAGTCCCCCCCTCCTAAGCCAACACCATTATTGCAATAATAACTTAGACAAAATGCCAAGCGTAAGCCCTTCTTCTAGATCGAAACTTGGAGTCTTTTGTGGCATTGGTCTCAGCAAGTATCCCATTGACTGCTGCAAGACGCCAAAAAACGGGTGGTCCACAAAAGCGCCCACTTTTACCCCGCACTTCAATCGGTACAAGGCGAAACATCATTTACCCCTATGTTTTTTTACCTACTATCACTACCAAAACCATCATTTCAACCAATGTTACGATGTCTTCTAGTGATTCTGATGCTTCCGATGCCTCTGTAACTACCGATACCTCTATACGGAGCTGTATATTTGTTAAGCTCCTTCCCGAAGACCTTGAAGTCGGCTGTACTGCCGACTGCACCCCGGAGAAGTGCGATAATAGCACAGTCCGGCTCCATGAGCCTCCGGCTGAGCCTGGCTTGCCCGGCTCCTTTATCCCATCGAGTGCTGCAAGGCGACAGTACATTGGCTCCACATAACGGGCCCCCTTTTACCCCGCACCGCATCTGGTACATCCACTGCTTGAGTTGCCCCTATGATTTCCACTCCGGTACATCTACCAAATCCATCATTACCAATACTCAATTAATGGATTCTGACGATTCTGACGGATCTGGCCGTTCCACGGGCTCGGCGAAGTCGTGTATCTTTGCCCTGCTGCCCGAGGACCTCGCCGCCGCCTGCACTGCCGACTGTACGCCGGAGCAATGTGATAATGCCACTGTTCGGCCCCGCGAGCCTCCGGAGGTTGAGCCCGGTATCCCTGGGAAGTACACGAGGATGGGCTGCCTCGAGTGCGATGTAGCTCTCTGTAACTCAGAAGATTGCTGGTACCGATTTCATACGCAGAATCTCTAGTAATTGGAAGTATCTATTATCAATTACGTTGGTTGGTTGGAAAAAGGGGCCCGAAGTGGCCCGATTGGCTGCTCCCCCGCATCTCAATGTACTGTCGCCTTGCAGCACTCGATGGGATACCCTTTGATATACCGGCCCGGGACCGGCAAATACGGGACTTACCGGAAACGCCGATTAACCTTTTCCTCCGATACGTTCCCCGGAGCCTTGTTGAGCAGTGGGTCCGGTGGACAAATGCAGCGCCGATATCTAAGGAGGGCCCTCAGCCTAGACACTCAAGAGTGTATAAGTGGAAAAAGACCTCTATAGAAGAGGTATACCTCTTCTTAGGAATCCGTATTTATATAGGGATCCATAAGGAGTATGAACTATCAAGATACTGGGCAACTCAGCAAGAGAAAGAGGACCCTATTCATCTATTTACCCGGTTTATATCCCGTGACCGTTACCAAAGACTATCCCGGCAGCTGCGGATATTCGATACTTCTGAGTTCCCTAGTCAGTCTAGCCATGGCCGGTGCCGACGCCGGCCCCAGGATAATTCAATACCGGATACGTATCGGAAGGTTAACGGGTGGTCGGCCCATATCCAGGATACCGGGGACTCCTTCTATACGGCCGGCTCTGACCTTACCGTTGACGAGGCTATGGTCCGATTCACAGGCCGGTCTCTTGAGACAACAACAATCCCGACTAAGCCGATCCCGACCGGCTTCAAGATATGGATTCTTGCCCAATCAGGCTACTGTCTCCGGTGGCTCTGGCATATCCACGGAAAGGGCCCGTACGGGCTAGTCCCACAGGCCCGGCCAGCGCCGGATGACGAGGCGGCAAAGCAGGCCCTTTTAACGCCGACGCAACGGGTTGTAACGACCCTAGTTGCCCTACTTCCGGCTGCAATCTACCACGTCTTTTTAGATAACCTCTTTTCTTCTGTCCGGCTCTTCCGGGCTCTCCGGAAGCAGCAAGTCGGAGCTTCTGGCACCTGCCGGAAAGATAGCGGCATAGATAAGATCCATATTGCCGAGAAAGCAACTGAAGGACAGGATATCCCTTGGGGCAAGATACATTATATCCCTACTTTAGATGGGGAGGTATAGTGTTATAGACTACCTTCTAAGGATATCTCTATACTAATCAGTTCTTCTAGGTTAACCAGTTCACCTGGAAAGATAATGCTATTGTACTCTTCTTGACAACAGTCTTCCGGGAAGGCCAGGATATTATTCGGAGCCGGCGCCGGCCAACCGGAGGTACTGCTGTAAAGCGGGCTGCCCGGAAAGTCTTCGGCGCCGACTTCCGGAAGAACCTGCCAGTGCCGGCACCAATAGACGAGTATAACCATAAGATGAACGGCGTTGATGTTAGTGACCAGATGAGATCCTATTATCAATGGGGCCACCCTATCCGGCGAGGGGGCTGGCAGGCAATTGCTTGGGACTTCCTGCTAGACCTCGGCCTGGGCAAGCTAAAGATAAAAGGAATACCTCTATTCCTTGGCAACACCATACAAAGGGATCGAGAAAGGTTAATTCGCGGTGCTCTTATTGCAGCAGTAAAGGCGCATTATCTCGCCGAACTGCCTTATCCGAGATATCTGGAAATAGCCTTGCGCAGCCACGGCCTAGATACACAAGAAAGGGCTGCTTAGACTGCAATGTACCGCTTTGTATCAACAGAGATTGCTGGTACCTCTGGCATAACCAAGATAACTAGAGAATAGAAGTACCGGAAATCCTAGCTTATCATTGGATAGAGTATATGAAACCACAAGCCCTTATTGGCCGTACCCCGCATGGCGTCTTGCAGCAGTCAATGGGATAGACTTGCAGGCTATTCGGGGCATGGTTTTTCCTAGACCTTTCCTAAAGTGCATCTCAGCTGTTGGATGAATTGGACAAGCACTCAAAATCAAGACCAGAGTGATTGTGTGAACAGGCCAATGAAATACCATCGCGCTTCAATCTCAGATGGCCAGCTGTATGTAGCCGCCGTTGGCTGAGCCCATGCAGTCGTAAGGAAGAATCTTCATGATGCTCTTCAATACCTTCGCAATAGAGGAAATGTTGGACTCGTGTGGATCGATGCGATCTGTATCGACCAGGCGAATGTGCAGGAGCGCAACAGGCAGGTTGCCATTATGAGACACATATACTTCAGAGCGCACACAGTAGTTGTTTGGCTGGGAAGTACTTATTCGCAATACCAAAAGGGGATAGGTCCGCTTGAGGCTCGCTTTGCTCCAGAAGACAGCTCAGTGGAAGAAACTCTTACCTCTGCAACTGGACCCAGCGAGCCCGACGACGCTCATGCAGTTAGTTTGAAAAGCGAGCGCAAAATGGTGCTTAGATTGGCAAAAGACGAGTATTGGAACCGAGTCTGGATCATTCAGGAGATCGGACATGCTAGACAGAGACGCGTCTGCTTCGGGAAAATGGAGCTGAGTTGGAGCGGTTTCATCAAGATGATGACGCACCACAGCGTCACAACTGAAGGGCCTCTTCGGTTGAACCAGCAAGTCGAGCAAAAGTATCAAGGCTCCCATACCCTGAGACGTCTTCTCTCCGATCACCGCAATTCTCAGTGCCAAGACCCAAAAGACAAGATCTTTGGCCTCATTGGCCTATCAGTGGATGGCTACGGCTATCCAAGCCCGGACTACGACAAGTCACTGTTTCAAATTTGGACAGAAACGATGGAATTCATGAATCGTCATAAAATGTTCGATGACAATAACGAACTTGAAATCGTATCTCACGCAAATTTGGTCAAGTTCCTTCTCATGGGAACACGTTGCACACCGATTCAACAAGTCCTGAGGCCCTATGCCGCAGAAGCCGAGACACAACTTGTATCACTCCAGTATGGAAACTGTTGGTTCACGGGGTCGTATACGACAAATAGTGGTAGCAATTATCACTCGTCTGTTGGTGATCGTATTGCTTGTTCTTCTTGTTGTTCTATCTTACATTGTAGGCAGGAGTCGGTCGAAGTAGGTAGTGACGGCCTGGGTGGTTGTCCCACCTTTATCCGGCCGTGATGACTAAGCCAGTTGTCCCACTTCGCCCAGGGCAGGTGCCAGCCAGCCCATGGTACCTGCCTATTACTCCTTATCAGCCTTTGCTGTTCCAACAGAAACATACATCCCGGGGCTTTCACATTGACTGGATACATACTTGGCTCGATTTAGTCTCTAGGTCCTTCAGTAAAAGACGTGGCCGGTAATCTGGGCAAAGTTGACGAGTGGTCACATAAAGTCCAGATCAACTATGAAGACGATCTTGGAAGTGCCTGCAAGCAGAGCAACAAACTTCTAGGGGCCCTCTTGGGCGAACAGACCGAAGAAGTTCTACAACTTTGCTCCAATCAGCTTAGCCTTGTCAGTTGGGAAGCGCATTTCCAAATGAACTGTCCTCTGTTCCCGTTTCTGAATTGGGATGACCGACCAAAGCACAAGCTAGTACCAATCGAAAGCCCAAACCACTCCGAACCTTCATCACATATATCTACCAAGAATTCTGGAGCTTCAGAAACTCTGTTGTACCAGCTATGGACCGGCCATCGCTCTAATCAGAGTCCTAGGTGGAAAATGGGAGTCGCTTCCTGCCAAGCGGCATTGGGTGACGTTGTATGCTGGGTTGGAGGCACCAAGACGGCCTTGGTTGTGAGGCCAACGGAGGGGTATAGAAGTCCGCACCAACGATATGTTGAAAACGTTCAACTTCAAGTCATTGATACAGCCATGGTTGCCGAAGACATTGCAGACTCAATGATCGATCACTCTCTAAGGCTAAATATCCGGGGTAAAAGGGGCGAGGTTCGTCGTGAATATGAAGCGAAACCGCTCGGAAAAGTGTCTTTGATGTTGGATGCTCGGACTCTCTACGTCATTCTACTAGGAAACCAGGGTTGAGCTAGCCGTTCAATCTTTTCATAATTTTCAGCTTTTTTCTCCAACTTGGCCAACAGTTGCCATACTCGATTGAAATCGTTCAGTTACAACAGTGGGAAAGAGGTGCATTCTGAACATTGAAGCCAAGAAACGCTTCGTTACTTTGCCTAGCTCCCTTGGATAAGACCTTGAGATTTAATGGGTGAAGTAGTTCGAAGTTTGAGTCTGCCTGTTATGAGTCATACGAACATTGGGATTTATAGACATCGAGATGTATATCTTATCATTTATGATTCTGTTAAAAACTCGAAGGATCCTTTCCATGCAGCCTAGCATCAACTTGACCAGGGTGTCGATGCAGAGCCCCAATTGTTAAATCTCGTAGCCGAGTAAGTACTGGTCGGTCATCGACGTAACACTGGTAATACGGGCACTACAAAGTTTGGTAGATCACCTCGGATCAAAAGATGGCCCTTTTAGCTTGCAGTCGGAGATATTCAAGCCAGAATCACTCTATACTTGCCTTAGCCTTCAGGAATAACAAGGAACATTTTGATCTCGACGAGACAGACACTCAAAATGTGAGCGGAGGCGAGAAATGCAAACCTGCCTACACAGTATCACGAACTTCGAGGGGGCTTGCACAGAGTAGATTGCAACAGTTGTACGAGAGTCATGGGGCAATGGAGCGCATACTCCTTCGTCTGAAAGACTTGCACACCGGTCTTACTTCATCGCAAACTTGTAAGTCAGTCCTCGAGCAGCCGCGATCGCTCGAGTTCGCTATGGGATGGAATTTTCCACGAGGAGTTGTCCAAGTGGATTTCAATCGATCTTCTCAGGCCGATGAAATTTCTGACCCGCCTACCGATCATCCTGATGATCTCTTGGATCTGGGCAATCATCTTTGGTCTCTACGTTATCGTCCTCTCCTCTTTTGCCAGCCTTTGGATGGACAGATACGGACAATCCGAAACCCGAAAACGCTCAATTACATCGCTTTCGCAATTGGTATCACGATCTCTTCGCAGGCCGGAGGTTCAGTCATGGACTACGTATTCCGACGTCTTCGTTATAGGGCTAATGGCGCGACTGCCCCGGAATTTCTAGTAGCCTATCTCGTAATCGAGACACGCCGCATTGGCAAGCATGGAAGCACGTGTGTTGTCCATAGTGTTTGGTTTCGCTTTCTCCATCTTCGCTCCGCAACTTCTCAAAAAGCTCGGACATGTTTGGGGTAATATTCTACTAGCTTTTGTGTTCATATGAGTTGGTCTGCCATGCCCTGCCATCCTATGGCTCTGGGGCGGGAAGTCGAGAGCCCTAGGACGTGAACCTCAAGATTGAATACTTTTAGGTACTGGAGGTATCATCACAGTTCAGTTTAGACAAGGAAAGCAAAAGAGATCAGGAATTATAAGAACAAGAAGCTTTTGGTTTGCATAACGTATTGATTTCATCATATTCTCAGTCATTAGATCCCCGATTAATCTAACATCACAAAAAACACCCAAGCTTAAGCAATGGAACGGACCAAGAGCAATTACTACAGCCGTCTGGAAACAGCCACTTTCCTAGCTAGACCTGAAGTCAACCATGAACCCAATGTTGTAAGGAACGCAACCCATATGTGGAGTCCGTTGGAAGAAGTGAATAAGCAAGCTCCTCGGTATGAAGAGCCATTATGCGAGAAGAAGAGTCTTTTGGTCACCGAGTTCTCTTACAACAGGAAGACGACTCCAGCAACGGCGCCAAGGGCCATACTGACGAAGCCGTACGAGACAGCAGGTCTGCTGGAACCGGCAACGGTAACAACAGGGGGTTTGGCACCTCCTCCGGGAGCATACCCGCCGGGTGCCGTGGGGTTGGCGGAAGGCTGTCCGGCAGGAGGGTTGGCAGGGGGCTGACCGGCGGGAGACTGACCGGCGGGGGGCTGACCAGCAGGGGGCAGAGCAGAGTTGGCGGGAGGAGAGACCGACGCAGAAGGGTTCGCGGGAGGCTGGCCGGCGGGGGGTGTGACTGCAGGGCCGGTGGGAGGAGCTCCAGAGGGAGGCGCACCAACGGGAGGCAGAGCAGAGTCGGCAGGAGGTTGACCGACAGGAGGCTGAGCGGACGGGTTCAGGGGAGGCTGGCCGACAGGAGGAGTAGCCGTGGGCATAGCCGAAGGGTTCGCCGGAGGGTTCGCCGGAGGGCTAGCGGGAGGCATGGCCGGGGCGGTGCCGGTGGGGTACGGGAGGGTGCTCGGCGGCTGGGGCTTGGGGCAATCACCGTTGCAAGGTGTGACGACCTTGCACTTGTCGTCGGTGCACTCGTACTTCTTGTTGACGTCGGTGTAGGGGCAGGTCTCGTGCTCGCACATATCGCCGGTGCAGACGTACTTCTTGTAGCATTCGTCTCCCGAGCAGGTCTCAATCTTGCAGGCGTTACCGTAGCAGGTGATCTTCTCCTTGGTGCACTCGTCTCCCTGGCACTGAGAGTATCCACAGAGTCCGCTCTTGCAGATGATCTTGCGGCCACAGTCATATCCACTGCAAGTCTCCGGGTGGCAGAGTCCATCCTCGCACACAATACGGCGACGGCACTCATCACCGTAGCAGGGGTAGTCGAAGCTGACGTAGTCACCGTAGCAGACAAGCTTCTTGTAGCAGTCATCGCCGTAGCAGTGCTGGCCGAAGCACTGTCCGTTGCTGCAAGGGTTAGGAGCGGGAGTCTCAGTAGGGCAGTAGGTGGTCGTGACGGTGGTAACGCCGGTGGTAAGAGATCCGATGTCACAGGTCGTGAGTCCAGGAGGGCAAGAAGTGACGGTTCCAGTAGTCGTGGTCGTGAAAGAAGTCGTGACAGTCGCAGACGCGGTAGTTCCGCCAGCAAGACCGAGACGGATGTAGATGGTGAATCGGACGTTGAGGCCAATGATTTGACGTCTGGTCAGTCCAGCCTGGCCACCGCAGCGCTCAGCGTTGTTGCCACCGCAGGGGATGTTGCACTGGTCATCAGGGACGGAAACCTCATTGACAGAGTCAACAGTGGTGCCGCAGAAGCAATCATTGCTGAAGAGACCGATGTACTTGCTTCCAGGGCAAGCAGCAACGCAGCGCTCGATGGTCATGGACGAGGCAGACTGGGTGAGAACGAAGGTAGGGAAGCTTGAAGGAGAGCTGAAGCAGCCAAGGTAGCTCGCATCACCGACAGTCAGAGGGTTGACAGCCGCGCTAGAAGACGCAGCAGCACTGGAGCTGGAGGAAGAAGTCTGGGTGTCAATGGTGGACGTGGTAGGAACGCTGGTGACACCCTCGGAAGTTGAGCTGATGGTTGTGACAAAGGTACTGCCATCGCTAGTGAAGCTCGACGTGGACACGAACGTGGAGGTGAAGGAAGAGGCAACGCTGGTGGTGATGACAGAAGAGGTGCCTGATCCAATGCTCGTGGTGACCGAAGGGACACTGGTGACGCCTGAGGTGACGCTGGAGAGGGTTGTCAAGAACGTGCTGCCGCCGCTGACGAAGCTGGAGGTAGAGACAAGAGTCGAGGTGAAGGAAGAAGCGACGCTGGTGGTGCCAACAGAGGTCGTGGCAGATCCAACGCTGGTGGAGACAGAGGCCACGCTGGTGACACCGGTGGAAGCCGAGGAGACTGTGGAAGCACCCGTGCTGGCTGGGGCCGTTGAGGATGAGGTGGCTACTGCCAAAGTGGTGGTGACGCTGGAAGCGACAGAACTGACGGTTGTAGATCCAATCGCGGGCGTAATCACGGTAGTTCCTCCTCCGAGAAGAGTTGTGAGAAGGCCTCCGGGGTTAACATTGACAGTCGCGACGGGAAGAGCAACGCTGAGGCCGTTGCTACCGAGACCAACAGTGAGAACACCGCCAACACCGACGCCGACTCCGGCGGTTCCGGCTCCGACGCTAATGGGGACACCGCCAACACCGACAGAGGCTCCAACGCCTGCAGAGTTGACTCCAGCAGTGACGGTTGCGCCGGCAGCACCAACATTAGCGGCGACCGTGGATCCAACACCAGCAGCAACGGTGGCAACACCGCCGACACCGAGACTGACACTGACACTCTGGCCGACACTGGCACCGACGCCGACGCCTGCAATCGTTGTGGTAAGGCCGACGGTGACGGGAAGGGGAATGGGGATCAGCTGAGCCATGGAGCCCTGGCCCAGGAGGGCGATGGCGGCAATAGAGCGGAGCGCCATTGCGAAGCGAGTGACAAGAGCGATTATTAAAGAGTGACTAGACCTCTGGCGGTTAGCGAGAGAAGCGAGGTCAAACTAAAAGAATGAATGTGGCCCAAGGGCAATTAAAGAATGTCGTGATTATCGTGATGATGAGAGTGAAAAGAAAGTCGTTTGAAGAGGCAACATTGCCCTCTTTTTATCTCGGATTCCGATCACCATCGTGTTGACATTGTCTGCAAATAGAAGAGGGAGAACGCTCTGTGAAGCTTTCTCGATACGATGTTCGCCCCTGAACAACGGAACCACCTCGAAGAATGTAGCAATATCCACTCCATGCCTCAAGTGAGACTAGGATTAGACGATGCTTTGCCTCTGACCTCCTGCCCTATGGTCTGGTTGTGGACATTAGCTCACGATCAACATGATCTAGTCTTACTTCTCGATGTGTAGGGCTATGAAGGATGGTAGAACAAGAAATTCGTTGGCTTGGCTCGGACTATGCCGATTAGCGATAATAGTGCCTCAGCATGCAGTCGTGTGAAGAGAGGCAATTCTTGTTATTGTTGCACGAAGGCCTCAGCAAGGAGTGCAATGTTTCTCGGAAACGAACCTTAACCACCCTGATTCTTCTGCACGAGGCGTAAAGTGCTGAAGATGCTCTTTTCTCAATTGTATAGCAAAATCCAGATGGACTCTGTAGCAACTTCGAATTTTCAAAGGCTCATCATCTTCAGTCCGATTTCCATTCTGACGAGGTGGTATGCCGCGTCACAATCTTACCCAAAATCATCATGTCGACGCGGCCTCGGGCCGTAGGACTAGACTGTGATTGCTAATCGCGGTCTAGAACAGACCATGCTCTCCGCACATGTGCCGTTTTTCCAGGTAGGACATTGTCTCACTCGAAATGCGCCACCTTGAGCCCCGTGTGGAAAGGGTTACCGTGATATTACCGGACCATGTCGAGTATATGGGCGCCGTGATGTCTAAGATTCGCCGGCCTTTGCGGGTGTGGAATGTAAAAGCTGACCTCGAAGTCCTGGGAGTCAATATTGTGCTGGCCCCGTAGTAGTTAGTGCACAACAATCCCTTGGCAGAGCGTTGTACAAACATTCCAGGTGGCCTCGGCCCGAGCGCTACGAGTGCAGCTTTTGCCGTATTGAAGTCTTGCTTTTTGAACGTTGTACAGCATGCCTCTTAGGGCGCCAGCCAAAACCTTGCTGGCTAAGGTACTCAGCTGGATTTGTGCGAGACAGGTCTCGTCATTGATTGCCGAACAGCTGTCTTTGGCGGTCGTCGATTCGGCCACACGATCCAAGGGGTAGGTTCATGGCGTGATTGACCCTGCGAAGGTAGTACGGCGGCTAGAGAGGCGTCCACTCAGGCAGACAGGAATCAAACAAATCTCAAAGCTTGGCACAGCTTCAAAGCGTGAGATGGACTGTGTCAGCATACACAGGTCGAGGCGCGTCCTAATTGTGTAACCGGGCCCTGAGCAAGGAATTCAATTAGATAGCACAGCGAGTCATCTATTGTCATTCGGCCTCCTTGGTTGGCCAGGCATCATCACGATAATGCCAGCCTGACCAGGCTGGAAATTTATTATCATGAGCCCCCCCTTCAAGAGCGAACAGCAATTTCTCGCTCAGTTCCCACGGAGACTGCTAGTCGCTGGATTGACGTTGCAAAAAGACATCAAGTAAAGCCAAGAGTGAGCTGTAAATGTCAAGAGATTAGACTCCTGATGTGGCTTCTCGTACGGATATCTTCGCATGGACTGTAAGGCCCTTGACTCGGATCTGATCAAGGGAGGCGAAGGGCAAGGCCCATTTGCCTTAGTCTCTGCTTGGTCTCGTGAACATTGGGTTCTCCACACACTGACGGCATTGACTTTACACTTGGTGGTTCTCCTCTGACGTAGATCCTTGTTGAAAATGCCCCAGTGCCTCCTTAACAGCCGAGTAATTTTTGCAGGTTTACAACTTGCACGTACAGATATGTTCCATTATGGCGTCGTTGGCGATGCAGAAGCCAATATCTCTGAAGTTCCTTGTTACAACAACTTTTCCACGTAACTTTGCAAATTTACTTGATGTATTTCTGTTTACTTTACAATCGTTGCTTTATCCATCAGTGACTGTTCCGCATGATCACATATGTCCCAGACTCCGAGTTCTTTACAGGCCTTTCTGACTCCATGTTAAACCTCACTCGGGTCTCCGAGACTACATGTACGAGTAAGAGAGTCTCCAACATTTACTGGCCCCCCACTCAACGGAGTTGACCCGCGTAGGACTTTAAATCAAGGGCCCATATTGGGCCATACAGGATCTGTACTGCCGAATCATATGTCCTTGCTGCACACGTATATGTTGACATGATCCTCTGTCTTCGTCTCTTCACCTCATCTCTGTCGCAATATCATTAAGTACTTACGCAGTAAACCTACGATGCAAATGCCTTCATCGGAATGGTGATCTCGTTGAAGTATCCTTCACCAAGCGCTACATGTGCTGATCGTTATGGGTACATGTAAGGTGCAGAGCCGGAGGCAGAAATTCAGCTCACAACAGAATCAGATCGTAGCACTTGAACAAGGTGATAGCATCCCTTGACTCTTGAACAATACGGTCGTGACAGGGCATCCCGTTTCAGGGTTGCAAAAAGTTTTGAAACGAGCGATAATGCAAGCCGACGAGCGTAGCGTGGTGGCTTTCCGCAACGAGTAAAGCGTCCGCAGACTCCATGCACAGACAGGGATCAAATATCGAACCCAATAATTAAAGGGGTTTGCTGTTGGCGTCTAGGCAAGCTTACTCCTCGCTTCTTGAAAGATTCTGGATTTTTTCAGACCGAACCGAGCGGATAGCCGCCGAGAGTCGTCGTGTAAAAAGGGGGATGACCTACCCAACTGGATGGTCTATGCCTCGACATCGCATTATCCCCACTTGTTGACAGCCAAGCACCCCCCAGCAATTGCGTCCAAGACCCCAAACCTTTTCTCTGTGCCGATTTCCCGGCCCCGAAGTTCGGGAAAGGTATCTCATTTTACTATACATTCACCAAGCTTCCTATATTGATACTCGATGGCCCTTCCTAGGACATTGTGGTCCGCAGATGAAGTTGCAATTATCGATGACGTGACATGCTTTTTCTGCCCAGGCGTCAAACTGAATTTTCATATATCGTAGCCGACGTCGCTTAGAATTTAGAGCAGCGTTCGGACACCTACTTCGATGCGCTGCAAAACCCTTTTCCGCCGGCCGTCGGATTCGGTAAGCTGGGTTCCCAGGTGAAGTCCTGAATACGAGTAAACACCTTGACTTCGCCAGTGGGAGGGTGCCATCGAAGTCACGTCCACCGCTTTCATAAATACATCTCCGACGTTGTCGAGAGTGCCGAGCTCATCAACATTGGCTCCGTGGTATCAAAATCAAACGCGGGTCAGGTTGTGTATATTTCTGATACAGCCAGTGGTCAACTCACAATTAAAGATTTGGGGGTCTAGCCTCTGTGTTGCTGATCTTAAGAACAACTGGAGAATAGCAGACTTTCTAGTCCTGACGGGACTGCTGCTCACTGCATGATTAGAGATCTCCGGTGGGTGGACCACGTTGTAAATCAGAGCCTCTCCTAAGCCATCCCTGCTGATAGGAGCCAGGGGTTTGGAGTTGCTGATAAGGTTTCCAACATCTCAACTAGAGGACCGGTAGTGGGAAAATAGACGGCATGACATTCAAAAAAAATCCTCAAGCGTGGGATGCCGTACTATGATCTAGATAAACAATAAGCTTGATATTTGGGTGTATGCGAACAACTGGAGCACCAGAAGTCATAGATCGTGGTGGGAAATTGAAGAGCCCCTCGGCTATTCTTGCTGAGAGTCCGCGAGTGGGCTGATCTCCCGGACTGTTCCCATCGTCGCATCGGACGAAAAAGCGGATAACAATGGAATAGCACAGACGCTAGTGATCTTGAATGTGGTCCATGTCCAATTAACATTTGGAAACTAATCCATTGCAGGCATCGTGCGGCTCTGCCAAGTTAATTCACTTTGGACAAAACGGGATGCCCCACGAACGTGGTTCCCTTTTCGGCTGCATGCCGCTGCCAAAGGCGATGGCGTGAAACTTGGTCGGAAATTTAGTAGGGGTTTGATTACGTCGGGTATCCCTTTCTGGACGACGAGGCACAGCAATGGGCCATGGTCCAGTCTTGAGAGCTGAGAATACTTATAAGAAGTTGGAAGAGCTTTCGTCTCATGATGGCTTACTGTTTGGTCATTCTCTTGCTCTCCAACGTTTCGTTCCTTGTCGCATTCCCTCCTTACTTCCCTACCTTTTACTCACTTTTTTAAATTCTTCGTTCGTTTTACAGACACAGGATGTCTTCCCTTCTTTTCGTTACCGGCCTCCTCGCCGGCCTGGCCCAGGCCTACACCCAGGTCAATGTTGCCTCCCCCTTCATGACCAAGAACATCGATCCCATTGTCTACCCCAGCCAGTACGACAAGTCTCACTTGCACTCCTTCTTCGGCTCCGACGCCGTCACTATCAACACCAAGACCAGTGCCGAGCTCCAGAAGGGCTGCACGAACGCCGAGAACCCCAACGACTTGTCCGTCTACTGGATCCCTACGCCGCTCTACACCACCGACGGCGGCAAGACCTACAAGCCCATGCCTCTCTCGCGCTTCAGCGCCTACTACAACCTCGGCGAGACTGAGGCTGAGGTCGCCATCCCCCAGAACCTTCAGATGGTTGCCGGCAAGGCCACCGCCACCACCGAGGCTGACATGTCCGCTGACGCCCTTTCCTCCTGGGCTTGCGAGAACGGCGGCGGTGGCAGCACTGACGCCAACGGTTTCCCCTCCTCCACCTGCGGCACCCACCTCCAGCAGCTCCTCTACTTCCCCCAGTGCGTCAACACCGAGACCCTCGAGACCGCCTACAAGACCAAGCGCGGAGGCAGCTGCCCCTCCGGCATGAAGTCCATGCCCCAGCTTCGCTTCTCCATTCGCTACGACCTCCGCAAGGTTCTCCCCAACGGCTGGAGCGGCACCGCGCCCTTCAAGCTTGCCTGCGGCCCCGCCTGGTGCTCCCACGGCGACTTCATCAACGGCTGGACTGAGGAGGCT